GAGTTCAAGTTCTAAATAACAAGCCCTTAATGGTGAGCTACGTAAGTACCCCGTAAGCAGGTGTGTGTGATTAAACATATGTGTGGCATAAAGGGAGGGTGGGGGACTTATTGATTAGTTTGATTGGTTGATAAAAATATATGTTACATTTTGATTGGTTGAGAATGAAAATAGAAATCATCCTAAATAGGACTAAAACATAGAGAAAAGTACCAAAATAAGACTTTCATGTTTTTTTTCCCGGAATAGGACTTTGCACTGTGGTAATGTGACTTTGCATTGTGGTAATGTGGCAGTGTACATGTGCAAATTACTATACTTTTTTGGTAATGTATATGACCATGTTTGGTAATGTAAGTCCTATTTCGGGAATAAAAATATGAAAGTTCTATTTTGGTATATTTTCAATGTTTTAATCCTAGTTTGACCTTTCTCCCGAATGAAAATAAATAAATGGAAAGGGATAGAGACCTAATGGCATGAAGGCCTACAAAGGTCACGCCCTATCACCTCGAGTGAGTCATGGCAAAGGAGCGTGAGTGTGGGTGGTGAAGCCCCCCACTCACGCCATGAATAGAACTTATATTTTACATTGTTAATTCCTTAAATAAGTTTTCCATGTGTAAAAAAAGTCAATGCCACTAAAGTAACTCTAATGTGATGCCTAAGTAAAAAGTCAAAAATTTTCCACACCTGATATTAAAAGTCTATGGTTTTCCCATTTTGGACCATTACTTTTAAATTCCATTAATAAAACTTTTTAAACCTAGAATTCCTACTATAGTCTTCGAATTCCTAAAAACAACGTAACCAATTATAGCCTTTTTTTCATGAGGAGATTTATATGAAATAATGTGAAGGTTTTGTTATGCTAGGAAATGAAAATAAGATTTGTAAGTTGATGAAATCTCTTAATGGTCTTAAACCAGTGAATAAGTGTGTATATAGTAAGTTCAATAACATAAAAAATTTGATGATGTGATATTCTCAAATAGTTTTGTATTAAACCAAGCGGGTAAGTGTGTATATAGTAGGTTTGATGCTTCAGGTCACGGAGTTATGATTTGCTTATATGTAGATGACATGTTGATATTTCGTAGTAACCAAGATCAAGTTGATAACACCAAGGAATTTGTGTGGTCTAGGTTTGCCATAGAAAACATGGGGGTGCTGAGGTCATCCTAGGCATAAGAATCAAGCGTGAGAATAATAATACATGTAATTTCTAAAAGAGGTTCAACTTCAAAGATTGTACTCTAGTGAGCACTCCCATTGATCTAAATATGAAGCTCTTACCTAATAAAGATGTTGCAGTATCTAAACTTGAACACTTGTGGACCATTGAATATTTGATGTATGATATGATTAGCACAAGGGTTGACATAACCAATGTTGTAAGAAAGCTTAGTAGATATACTAGCAGTAACAATCATAGTTCGCATCATTGACAAGCTATTAATCGAGTATTCAAATACATGAAGGGAACCACGAATTATGGTTTGACTTACACTGGATTCACTTCTGTGTTAAAAGGTTATTCGAATGCGAGTTGGATAGCCAATATGGAAGATCATTCTTCCACAAGTGGATGGATTTTTCATCTAGGAGGGAGGTGCAATTAGTTGGGGATCAAAGAAGCATACTTGCATTACAAACTCAACATTGAAATTTGAGTTTTTGACCCTAGCAGTCCTGGTAATGAAGCCAAATTGCTAAGAAATCTGATATATGAATTTCCATTGTGGCGTAAACCAATATCTTCCAAATCTATCAGGTGTGATAATGTAGCTACTTTGGCTAAGGCTTATAGCCAAGTATACAACGAAAAGTCTTGACACTTAGGTGTGAGGCACATCATGGTTCGTGAGCTCAATATGCATGTGTGATATGAGTAGTGTTTGTGAGAATTCAACAAAATTTAGCTGATCATTAAACCAATGGGTTAATTAGAGATCTTGTACACAGATCGACTATAAGGATTGGATTGAAGTCCACCTAAAATCACTCACAATTCCTATCTAATACGGAGTATAACATTAGGTGCAGAATGCAATGTATAAAGCTTAACATATAGAGAATGGGACACATTATTTATATCATCCTGAGGTAAATGTCCAGACCTGCAAGATTATGATGATGAAGTTTGTCTTCACCATAGTTTTTTTTGTTAATAAATTGCATATGTAGGAGCAAGAGTAAAACAACTACATATAAGAAGATGAAGTTTAGCAGCTTCAAGAGGTTGGAAATTTGCTTTGATAAGTTTATGAAGGATTAGGACACAAGCCTAGTAAAAGATAGTGTCAAGTTAAAACTTTAAAGCATGTAAACTCATGTAAATTGTCTTCATGTATTAAGACCTTGTTTTTCAGGTTGGAAAAACTAATTTACAATTTTCTCTTATTCTTAGCTTCTTCCAACAACGATTTAAACAAAATATTTATATACGATAAATATACTATAACATTATATATCTAAATTTATAACATAGCACCTCAAACACGGATAAGGATGAAATCTTTTTTATCAAACATTGGAGTTTTGTTACATATTTATTTGGTTGATTATTTAATTCAGTGACTTTTTAACACTATAATTTTTCTAACATTTTCCAACTTCTTCCACTTTTTTTCTAACTTCTTTCAGTTTCTTTCAACATCCAACTCTAAAATTTCAACCCAAAAGAACAGGACATAAGTATGATTAGAAATGATTCAATCCTTAGTGAAATATCAATATTTGAATATTTGGAATGTGTAATATACTAAGATAAAATTCAATTGTAACGATATTTCATTTATCCATAAATTTGTTATTTGCGTTGACTTTGTTTAAAGTTAATCAAGGATTACACGAAAATGAGATAGAAATGTTAATATTTTACTGTTATTGATTAATTTGTCGATTGAATAGGTCAGAAGGTGTGGTGTGCACACTTGTCTGAGTTTGGTACTATTGAAGACAAAAGGAGGTCCAACTTCCAAGGGGTAGCAACCTGGCAGGGTCCAAGGGGTAAAGCCCTTGGGTGGGGTTGACTGATTTCGTTTTGATAAAAATCTACTTAGAATTAGTTTTCTAAAATTTCGTGTGTGGATTTTTTTCTCTAAATGAGCAGATTTTTTCTACTGAAATTAAGAGGGATGTATTCAATCTAAATTTTAAAAGATTCTGACAGATTGTTTAAAATCCATGGATTCTGTAAACTTCATGCATTATTTTAAGTCTACGCAAAGTTAGATAGATTTTAATTATTTTATCAGCAGGATTTTATAGGATTATGGAAAATTGTTTATACTCCGTAATTGTTTTTCTTTTTTTTTTCCTTTTTTTCTTTTTTCTTTTCCTATTTTTTCTTCGATCTCCTTTCTTTCCTCGCCAAGCCACCGCCACCATCACTTCCTCAACCGCTCTCTTGTAGTTGGCCGGCATCGCCGCCACGAATGTCATGGCGGCCTCCCGTCCCGACAGCAACGCCACCCCTTTCACCGCCTCGTCCCACATGTCGTACGCCTTGATGTTGAGTTCGCCGTCGGCATCCGGCTTGAACAGACATGTGTTGGACTGGGGAGTGCTGAAGAATGAGAAACGGACGCAGGGGAAGTCGCCGGCGAGCATTTCAACCAAGTTGAGCAAAGGCGCGGCGTGGTACCATGATGATTTCTCCATGTTTCTGCCCTTTTGACAATTTTTTGTTGTTCTTCTTTCTATTGGCGAAGGTTGAAGAAGAGTAGATGACACAAATTTTTCGAAGGTTGAAGAAGACAGATTTGGCGAAGGTTGAACGGAGGAAGAAGACCGGCTCTTTGGAGTCCACACTGGCCTTTTGATTGGATTTGTAAGCAATTATTTTTTGAGAAATTTATCAAAATAGTACTAAAACATAATGACTTTCCCAATATAGGACTATGTTTTTATTTCCCAATGTAGGACCTTTGGTCATTATCAAGTAGTCATTTTCAACTAAATGTCCATCATTACTGGACATTATTCCTTCCACTAGGTCATAATTAAGTCCTATTTAGGGAATAAAAAAATTTAAGTCCTATATTAAGAAAGTCATTATGTTTTAGTCCTATTTAGTGCAAATTTCACTTTTTTATTTATACTTCAACCTTAAAATCCATCACAATCCATTTTTATAACAAACCTTAAAAATCTACTCCGTCCTAAAACTTCCCAGAGCACTATTCCAACTTCACGGAAATTTATATTTATTTGTGTTTTTTCATGGCTTATATGATAAAATAAAATATTCTTGTCACCACTTGTTTTGTTAAACTTTTGATGTAGTTTTTAAATATGTATGTTTTATTTTTTATTTCTATATCAATATTTAAATAAAATAGATTGAAAAAACTTGGGATTTTTCTTCGTTTTGCGCAACGGGAAGAAAGATATAGGACGGAGGGAGTATCAATTTTTCAATATCATTAATTTACAAAGATTTTTTAAAATCTCAATTGAATATCTCAAAATTTTAAATGATTTTTCAAAATCTCAATTAAATACTCATCAACTTTTAAAATCCAAAAAAAATCACGCAAAATCGGAATTGAATATACCCCCTAAATTACTAACAAACCAAAAAGATACTACTCCCTCCGTCCCACTCTTTTTGTCCACTTTCTATTTGGCTCGAATACCAAGACAAAACTTAAAGTAGATAAAAAAGTCTCAAATACCCTTTGGTGAACAATCTGTGGGGCATAAAGTCGCACAAGTAAACATTACGGGGCATTTTATTTTAGTTTGTTTCTTAAAGGACAGTGATTAAAAGCATCACCATTCATGAATCTCCTCCAAAACCTTCATTAGAGCCCAAAACGAGAGAGCTCTTCGCCATTGACGTGCAATTGAAACAGCCTCAATGGAAGCTTTTTTGACATTCCACTCCTCATACTAAGACATGCGCTCAATTTCGTCGTCGTCACTGTCATCGGATACTGGCTAGATGGAAACTGAAGACTTAGAAGAGCACTAGATTCTGTCATCATCGCCAGAAGGCAGAGGGTGACTGGTCGAAATCAATGGTTGTGGCTTCTACTCTGGTATGGTTAGATCTGTGTGTTCCAGATGCAAAGTGAAATTGTACTCACTTAATATTTCCATAGACGATTCCATTCTAGGGTTCATACTCTAAGACTGGACGGTGGTGTTGAGATAGGGAATGGAAATCAGATCTAGAAGATAAAGATCAGATCTGGAGGGGATGATATCCTAGTGGGTGGTGTTGGAAAAATCAATGGAATTAATGGGGTGTTGGAAATGTAGTGGTTCCGTATTGGTAAGTGGGTAGGTGGAGAAGTGGGGGTAAAATGGACAATTGACACATCTTAATCATACTAATAAGGGAAAGTGGACAAAAACAATGAGACAACCTAAAAAGGAAAAGTGGACAAAAACACCGGGACGGAGAGAGTATTACAGAACAAACATGTTTCCTAAATGGTCTCCTCTTTAGCGAAAGCAACCTTTCGCCTGATGAAGACTTCTATCAAAGGAAGTTTTCGTTTCATTTGATCAATCATCTAGTTCAAAAATTCATCAAAATCACATGTTTGTTCTTGATCAATAATTTGAGATTTATCCGATTGATTTTGGATTAAACATTCAAATAATCAAGAAAAAAAGACTAAAATAGGAGTAAAATATAGAAAATATACCAAAATAGAAGTTTTATGTTTTTATTCCTAAAAATAGGAGTTAAAATGTATGTACAGTGTCAATTATGACCATATATATTCCCAAAAAGTATTGTAAAATGTGCATATACAGTGGCACACTACCACAACGCAAACTCCTATTTTGTAATAAAAATATGGAGCCCTTAATTTGATACTTTCTCTATATTTTACTCCTATAGAAATCACCCTAAATAGGATTAAAACATAGAGAAAAATACCAAAATAGGACTTTCAATTTTGGTAATGTACATGACCATCTTTGGTAATGTAAGTCCTATTTCAAGAATAAAAACATGGAAGTCTTATTTTGATATATTTTCAATGTTTTAATCCTACTTTGGTCTTTCTCCCTTACTACTACTTACGGTGATTTCTTAATAGTCAATCCGAAAGTATAATAACGACTCTCGGATAAATCCGCGTGTTATTTCAACTTTCCAACATGATGTTCTACAATAAACTTTCTAGGACTGAGGATCCGTTGAAGCAAATCGGTACGCGAAGTCATTTAAAATGTCAAGCACACTCAAAGAATGCAACTGAAACCCATACTTCTGGGGGCATGTGAGTATCAAGAAAAGATTGATCCATTGTCAAGAAACCAAATGAATCTTATTTGCATCCCAGATGATCCCAGTACAAAGATGTTCACAATTGGAAACCACAATCCACCTCTGCCCAAAACAAACACTACATCTAACTTTGACAACTCACATGATAATAATTAAGTAATGGCAGCAAGGGTAGGAAGCCAAGCTACACTTAATAAAGGAAAACCTTCAGTCTTTGCTCCTACAAACTCCGGTCTCCGGCAAGATCTCTATAAGTCCTTGCCTAAGAGCGTCTAGACATTGGTTCCTAGTGGTATGGACAATTATATATCCTCGCTACGATAAAGGTCAGGTATTTACATAAATATAGCACTTCCCCTATCTTTGTTAGCAAATAACCAAAGCTAAAGGTGGCAATTGGGTATGGTTCTTATTATTATTCACCTGGTCTACCCCAGTACCCTCCTCAATTCAGATTTTTGATCTGGTCTTAGCCTCGAAGGGAATTTGATATCGAACTTGACCCTCAAGTTCCCTTTCTTACCTGGTTCTTTTGATATCGGCATCCCTTCATTTGGGATGACTTGCTCGTGCCCGGGCTTGATGATGTCGGTTATTGGGACCGTTAGAACTCTTCCATCCAACGTCGTGATGCTGATAGTACTCCCTGTGAGAGCATCGACTAGAGATATTCTGTGGTGGACGACGAGATCATTCCCATCCCTCCTGAACACAGCATGAGGCTTTTCCTCCACGACGAAAATGAGATCCCCAGGGGCTGAAAGAGGAGCGTAGTCCCCTTTTTCAGGGAAAGTGATTTTCGTGCCTTTCTTCCAGCCGGGTTTAATATGTATTGCCAACACCTCCTCAACCGTCACAGGCTTGCTGCAATCATAAATTGCACAATAACCCTTAAGCAGCAAGTAAATAATAATTGGTCCAAGAGCACATTCAAGTATTCATTATAACAAGAATTTCTGTGCACTCCGGGGTATTATTTTATTTTGCTTCTTCCCTTCCCTAAGATCCACAAAAAAAAAAAATAGATGTCCCTTGTTGCAAGGAAAAGATGGTCTGGCATGCTTGAAATTTTTTGAAAATTAGTCAATTAGTTCGTACAAAAAAAAGAGCAGTGTTTTTTTAGTATTCAGGCCTCAATCTGTTTGCCTTTTTGTGATGGAGTAATATAAATTGATCCAAGTTAACTCCTGAACTTATAAATCCATACATACATAAGATACACAGAGTATGGAAAAAAATCACATTTACAAAGGGAAGAGTTGAAGGGAACAACTACTTCATCTGTCCAAAAGCGTCATAGTACATCTAAAACGTCGATTTCACCCCCCGAAATAAGAGAAATATTCAAGTAAATGGAACTAATTTTCTTTAGAATTCCCCAAAAAAAAGTCTTAATAACCAAACTAGAATTTAAAATTAATGGAAACCTATATCTGATGGTTTTCCACAGTGGGTGTATAAATTTGTTTTCTTTGTTTGACAAGGTTTTAGATGTTAGTGACTTGGTGCCAGACTTTTTCACACTTAATTTGGCTCTAAAACCAACAAGTCTTCTGCTCCCAACGACCTCAACTTTTTCTCTTTTTGTTCGATTCTAACTGCCTTCTCACAGTTAAATGAAAAAAGCAACCGACGTGTAGTAATCATTCACAGCCAATCTTTACCAAATGATATAATAATATGTGGCAGATGCATAACTCCGTACAAATTCACATTTCTATCAGGCAATTCATTAATTTTAGATAATGAAAAAAAATTGGTTGCCATGGTTTGGGCAATCAGAGTATTAACTTAACTTAACTATAGAGATTTGCAGATTATCCATTTGTTAATCTTTTATGGATGAACAAATTCATACATTTTTCGAGTAAACAAAGACTGGAACGTACCCGGAGTCATCAAGATCGATCCTTGAAATCTGCATCGTCCTTTTGGAGCCTTTGTAAAGCTCCTCCAAGCTACACGGCAGCTTGTTTTCCACCGGAGCCGCCTTGCGCGGCGTTCCTCTCTCCCCTCTACCGCTACCGCCAATAGGACTCCCTCTATACCCTCCCTGCGGCTCGCCGAAAAACTCGGCGAAAATCTCATCGGCATCGCGCGGATTATACTCGAACCCCTTCCCGGCTCCTCCAGCGCGAGCGGCGAAAGTCGGCGACGCCGGATCGAACTGGCCGGACTTCAGCGCCTCCTCGCCGTACAAATCATAGATCCGCCTCTTAAGCGCGTTGCTGAGAACATCGTACGCCTCGGATATCTGCTTGAACTTCGCCTCCGCCTCCTTCTCGTTCTCTCCGTTCTTATCCGGATGCCACTTCATCGCCAGCCGCCGGTAGGATCTCTTCAAATCATCGTCGCTCGCATCCTTCGGCACCTTCAGCACTTTATAGTAATCAACTCCCATCTCGCCGCCGCCGCCCTGCCGGATCCAGTCGAATCGATCGACAGAATCCAATCCACCTCCGCCTCTCTCTAAATGCAAATCCGGACAGCAGAGCTCCAAAGGAGATTCTCGAGCGCGTTATGGCGAAATCCCCGGAGAGTCCGGCGGCCGGCAACCGTCAAGGCGGAGGAAGGCTATGACTGCGACGGTTCACTGGGAGGTGACGTGGAAGCACATGATAGGGCAGCGGTGTGAGAACGTGCGGGGGTTGGGGACAGAGTATCTTTTGGTGTAACAGAATCTGCTACGTCTTCGCTGAATGGATTATATGGCAACTGGAGAAGCCAAATGGAAGTGAGGAACGGCGTCGTTTGGTCTCTGTGTCTTAGACGGGTCCATTTTACGGAATTATTGGGCCACCACAAAATTGAAAGATCAACCAAGCAATGGATAGGGCATGTGATTTGGTGTCAGACTCATTAGTACCCCCTTTCTAAGGCACATTGGAAAGACAAGTGTTTAAGAATAATATTCGAATTTGATTTCTGGTAACAATGTTCGAGAGTAACTATGGAGTATGTTAAAAAGATGGCCTCTGTAAATATCAAATGTGACAAATTCTTTTGTGGACTTTAGTTCTACACTCATTTATGAGTCTTAGCACATGAATAGCATAAAAGAATTGGGCTTCTACAAAAATAGAAGTTCCAATTGTAAGCCCATGCAAATTGTGATAAGTCAACAGAAACACGGCTCATCAAATGCAGACTTCACTCTTCACTATCAATGTGTGACCCAAGTCCAATTTATCTTCTCTCATTTGATTGTCAGGTCGATTCTAAAGGATCCTCAACAATGGTGTTCATCCTTTTTTTGTGACTAGATAGTCATGACTTGTTTTGGTTAATTTTGGACACATAGATACCAAAATGATTTACACTTTTAAAAATATTTTTTATTTTTAAAATTAAAAAGGAATATCTTTTTGGAACATCCATAAAAATATTTTTTGAATGTACTGAAAAGAACCTTATCAACGCACATGTTTATATTTTTTAATTTCTATAGAGGTATTTTTATATCTTTTTATTTTTTCATCTTCTTTTACTATTCAGTTTTTCTCTCATTTTATTTTTCTTTCCTACTCTTCATTTACTTTTTGAACGTCCAAAAAATAATTCTTTTTATTTTAGAAAATGAAAATAATAAGATCTTTATAGACGGGGCATATGTTAATTTTTTTTCATTTCATTTATTTTCTATTTTAAACACGAACAATTTTGATTTTTTATAAAGAATCATTTTTTAGAAAATTAAAAATGAACGGAAAATAAGATATATTGGGCTTTGATGCCTCATGTGGTATGAGAATTAGGCATCAATGCCCTCTTTTCCTCAAAAAAAAAAATGAACGGAAAATAGTCGGAGAAGTGTTTGTGCAACGTTTTGAAACTATAGAGATTTTAAAAATAAATTTTTAAAGAATAAGGTATTGGTGCCTATTTTCGAAATCAGAAGGCACTGAATAATACTCTCTTCGTCCTAAAACTAATTTCTTTGTTTAACTGGCATTATTTTCAGTTTAATTGATGAGAAAATTAATGTAGAATTTAAAAATAAAAATTATATATGAAAAAATTAGTACATAAAAAAATCTACAAAATATTAGGTGACATGACTACATTTTTTATCAAATAAGTAACAAAGTAAATGTAATAAAGTGAATAAAATTTGACATAATGAATAGTGAAGAAAAATATGGACTGTTTTGAGAGTATGGATGATTGCTACTATTGGAAAAAATAAAAGGGATGATTGCTACTATTGGAAAAAAATCCTTCAAACTAGGGACTGTTTTGAGAGTATGGATAAATCTGCCCCCTATACCCCAATACTGGGATATCAATGGCAATTGGGGGAATTGAAGGACTGAAAGTGGAAGGACATGGTCTGGAATAGGTTCACCATTCCCAAACATAAGTTTATCTTTTGGCTAATCTGTAAAAACAAAATTCAAACCAAGTGCAGGTTAAGCAAATGGCTGCCCATTGATACTCAATGCATGTTGTGCCGAAATTCAGAGGAAACCCTTGATCATTTATTCTGCACATATACCTTCTCCAGGGAAGTGTATACAGGTATCCAAGATTGGTGTCATTACAAGTTCGAGGGAGGAACCGTCAATGAAATGATAGAACACATCCAGAGGATTGCACCAAAGAAGAGGCAGAGAGGAATAGCAGCAGTCTTTGCAGCATGTCTCTACAATATTTGGAATTGCAGAAACCAAGCATTACATAACAATACTCTCACTCCAACTGAGGAAGCAGTGTTATGGATTAAATATTCATCTAGCACATACTTGCGTTCAAAATGCCAGCTTTGAATAAAATTTGTGAGAGCCTTAATAGCTTGTACTAGAGCAGTAGCTTATATCTGAGTGTGTTGCTTTATGGGGGGCTATAGACAGTAAGTAGCCATTCTTTGTGAGGGGTTTGTTTGTACATTTGAGTTGAGACATTGAATATATTTGCATTTGGTTTTAAAAAAAAAAGAAAAAGTTTTTGTGAAAAAAAAAAGAAGAAAAGATCACTAGTTAGCCAAATGTTGACGTTAGGATACCCAAACACAAGTCCAATTGTGGATTTGTGGGTAAAAAAATGTGAGTGTGAGATTGTGAGAATGGTGTCTGTGTAGGATTGTTTTTTTTTTCCCATTCTTAATCAGTTCGGATGAACTCTATATTAAAACGAGAATTTCAACCAAAAGTTTCAGTCTTCGGCAGAAGATCGATATCAGCAGTCACAGCTCTTGAAACCCAATCAGTCTTCTCAGAAGAACATCCCGAATTCTCCTTCCAAGAACCCTGCAAGTCATCATTCAAACTGCTGTCTGAAACCAAAATCCTGCACGCTCGTTTCCTCAGAGCCCAATCCTCGGTTAAAAACTTCTCGGCCGTCAAATCATTACTGGATGGGTACTACCGGTGTTCAAGAATGGACTATGCGCTCAAGTTGTTCGACAGAATGACTGTTCCATATCCTTTTTGTTGGAACCTTATTATTTCGGGCTGTAACAGAGCTCTGTTGTTCAGAGAGTCATGGGAATATTTTTGCCGCATGCACAAGTCAGGGGTGTGTATGGATGGGTTTACATACGGAGGAATTCTTTCTGCCTGCGAAGCCTTGGAGTCTGTGATTTGCGGCGAGCAGGTTTATGGCCTTGTTATGAAAAATGGGTTCTTTTCGAATGGTTACGTAAGGTCTGGAATGATAGATTTGTTTGTTAAGAGTTGCAGATTCGATGATGCTTTAAAGGTGTTTTATGATTTTCAATGCTGTAATGTAGTATGTTGTAATGCTATTATATCTGGAGCTATTAAAAGTAGGAAACATCGGAATGCTTTAGACATTTTCATTCAAATGTGCCGTGAGTCTTTGATACCAAATGGTGTAACTTTCTCAAGTGTGCTAAAAGCTTGTGCTGCCGCTAAGGAGTTTGAGATGGGAAAGATGGTCCAAGTGTGGGCAACAAAATGTGGGTGTGAGAACGATGTCTTTGTGCAGACTGCTTTGGTCGATATGTATGCCAAAGGCGGGTTTCTGAACGAGGCTGTAAAGGTATTCGCTGAGAAGCCAGGTCACAGTGTTGTTTCTTGGACAGCTATGATAAATGGGTTTGTTCAGAGCGGAGATTATGTTTCTGCGCTTCAATTGTTTGTTGAAATGAGGCAAAAGGGGGTGGAAATAAATGATTTTACCATTTCCAGCGTGCTCACAGCTTGTGCCAAGTCAGCTATGAGTACAGTAGCATCACAAATCCATTCATGGATCTTTAAAGCTGGGTTTTATCAGGATTCATTGGTTCAAATCTCTTTGATCAATACGTACTCAAAGATTGGGGCATATGATTTGTCCGAAATGGTCTTTTCAGAGGCTGAAGATCTCCAGCACCTTGGTTTATGGGCTAATATGATTTCTGCTTGTTCACTAAGCCAGAGCCCCTCTAAGGCAATTATTTTGTTTCAGAGAATGTTTCACGAGGGGGTAAAACCAGATGAGGTCTGTTGTTCTAGTGTTTTGGGTATTATAAACTGTCTAAACCTAGGCAGGCAGATTCATTGCTACGCACTTAAATTTGGAATAATTGGCGATATGATTTTGAGCAGCTCCCTATTCACAATGTATTCCAATTGTTTTAGCTTGTTGGAAGCTTACACAATTTTTAAACTTATTGAGTGCAAAGACAACGTTTCCTGGGCATCAATGATTTCTGGTTTTGCACATCATGGTCGCCCAGATGAGTCGATCCGGTTGTTCAGAGAGATGCTCTCAGAGAAAACAATGCCCGATGAAATGACTTTAAATGCTGTCCTATCTGCATGCTCCTCTCTTCTGTCCTTGAGGACTGGTAAAGAAATCCATGGCTTTGCTTTCCACTCCAGAACGGATGAGTTTGGCAATGAAGGTAGTGGGAGTGCACTGGTGCATATGTACGCAAAGTGCGGAGACCTAGTTTCCGCGAGGAGATTGTTCCTTATAATGCCCCATAAAGACAAGTTTTCGTGCTCCTCCTTGATTGCCGGGTACTCTCAAAGAGGTTACATTGGCGAATCCATTCAAGTGTTCAAAGAAATTCTCACGAATGATTTGCCTGTAGATTCTTTCACAGTTTCATCCATGCTTAGCTCCGTTCCTCCTCTGACCCAATCAGGCATTGGCCTCCAACTCCATTCCCAGAGTATAAAATGCGGATTAGACTCGGATGCTTCTGTTGGGAGCTCATTGGCTATGATGTACTCAAAATGTGGAAGCATCGACCAATGCTGCCGAGCATTTGAACAGATCCGGTGCCCTGATTTATTCAGCTGGACAGCCATGATTTCAAGCTATGCTCAGCATGGGAAGGGAGCCGAGGCCTTAATGGTTTTTGAGCTTATGAGGAAATCCGAAATTGCCCCTGATTCTAAGACATTTACCAGTCTTCTCTCTGCTTGTAGCCATTCTGGTTTGGTACAAGAAGGGTATTTTTTCCTGAAATCAATGAAAGAGGATTATGGGATAGAGCCTAGTAACAGGCATTATGCATGTATGGTAGATATTCTTGGTCGGTCCGGGAGGCTGGAAGAGGCTGAGAGGTTTATTAATGAGATGCCTATAGAACCCGATGCTTTGGTCTGGAAAACGCTGCTCGCTTCTTGCAACGTGCATGGTGAAGTTCGTCTCGGGCAGCTAGCGACCGGAAAAATTTCTGAATCGGAGCCATTTGAAGCTGGAAGTTGCGTTTCTTTGTCGAATATCCGGGCAGGTGTGGGTCAGTGGGAGGAGGTGTTGAAACTCAGAAGTACTATGAGAGGAAAGGGTGTAGAGAAAGAACCTGGGTGGAGTTATTTTTGACTCTTTTTTGCCATAGCTATACATTCTCTCTGCCAGTTGACAAATTGATTAGGCGGAGTTTAAGAAAAATGTTGAAAAGTTTAAAAAAAATAGTATACTGTTAGAATTTGTTTGAAGAAATATACTCCGTAATGTGAGTACGAAGTACGGGATGCATGTAAATTTCACATTTTGTTCTTTGAAGTGATGAGCCACAAACTTGATATCTACTTGGAGGTACATAAATTGCTTTGTTCTTTTTTTTTGACTGAACTATATTTCGGAGGGGTCTTGGGAGGTCTTTGGGGAAGAGGTAGTACTTATTATAAACAAAAATAAATCAAAATTTAAAAGAAAACTAACAAAAAAAATGATTTTTTATATCTATGAGCCTAGGAAAAACGTCTTTACCATTCATTTTTATTTTGTTTATATTTATTTATTTTTTTTGAATTTTACATGCAAATTTTTGTGGTCATGAAGAGGGTGGGGATATTTGGAGTACACCTTTGGTGGAAAGATGTATCCCTATCATTTTTCTTAATATTTAAATGGGACATGCTAGAGGTACACCAAAATGAGGTAACTCATATGTATACCAAGCAAACACAAATACTTAATGCCTGTAATCCACAGACAATAAGTGGCTGTGTTTGACTGGTGTACAAATGGGATACATCATTTTGATGTAGCCTAGGTTTATTCTTTTTAAATACTCCCTCCGTCGCACAAATAAGTTCTTATTTTGATATATTTTTGGTCAAACAGTTACACGCTTTAACCATAAATTAAATATAATCTAAATAAATAAATGTTAAAAAAAATTGAGATATCAAAACTAGATCCCAAGATGAATTCAATTATATTAAATTTATTTTATAATTTAATATACCTTTTCTCACAATTTGTAGTCAAAGCGTGTAAATATTTGACTAAATACTATTCAAAATGGAAATTTTTTTGTGAGACAGAATGAGTAATTCATACAACAAGCTAAAGATATTTAAAGTCTAACACCTTTTTTTATAGACCGCAATAATGATTGTCAGTAAATATTTGTGATGGGGGATGGTGATGCTAGAGATATACCAAAAGTATACTCTAAATATGCACCACTACCTTCATTATCACTCATTTTTATTCATTTCTTTCTTTTTATTTTACATGCCAAAATATGTGGTAATGAAGGGTGTGACGTACATTTGAGGTACACTATTAGTGTACCCTAGCATTTTTTATTTGTGATACACAAAGTGACAAACTTTGGTAACATTAGAGTATTATTACATCACTATTAAGACTGAAAAATCATTGCACGTACCAATGACTAGTTTACTCTTTATTTACCACTCTAAAATTATAACACAAATACACAGTTTACCTCCTTAGAGTTTATCCTCTTTTAGAAGAAAGTAATAATCATAGTTTCAATTTTATGTATATTACACGCTAGTAAGTAGTACCATGTATTTACAAAACTTTTTTTACAGACCAAACCAATAAGCGCAAACAGAACTCTAAATAAGAAAAATTAAGAACCCATAAAATAAAAAAGAAATCAAAGAAATATAATAATCATCTTCTAATCCTCCTCCATGCTAGTCCAGCTTTGGTAGCTTTTTAGAAGTGCGTTCTTCCCGTTTCCAAATCTTTCAACAACACTGGAAAAACACCAAAATAAAGAAGCTATTTAGAAAAATAAGTCCTTACTCAGTTGTGTCAACAATGTTCATAGTCCATGTTTAGGATATTTTAGATAATCCATCATAAGATATTAAAAGCGAACGACTAATTTTCGAAAAACGAAAAATAAGAAATGAACGACTAATTCTACACGAAGAGAGTGATACTTTTAGGTGAACTGGTTTTGGAAAATACCTTTACAAGAGGAAGGGACAATGACAACGGACATGTCTGCGTTGTTCGGAGGAAGATGCAACCGGAGGGGGTAAAGCTTCCCATTCAACACACTTCGAGTGCAAACAACAATGCCGTCCATCCCCGTCTCTTCTTCCAGTCTCTTCTTCAACTCCTCCACTTCGTTCCCCTTGAACGGCACGCAAAGCTCCTCTACCCCTTCATCAATCTCCCCACGGTCGTCAGCTATACGGTAAAAAATCAGCCTCCCATCTCCAACCATTTTCACCGTGTTATCCAAAGAATCACCCGACTGCAAAATTTTTAAAAATTTGTGAGTACAGTCAAAATAATATTTATGATAAACAAATGAAATCTAAAATAGATCGGAAGGTAAAATGTTTCCTATTTGGTAGAAAAGCCATGTCAAAATAGCCCTCTTTAGTCGATCCCCAAATAGTCCTCTTTTCTTGTTTGGTAAATGGAAGGAGTAAAATTGGCATTTTACACTCTCTTTAGCCATATAGACCCAAAAGAGATGGAGTTCTTTTTATGGAAAATCAAGTGTTTATGGACATCTTGGAAATAGAATGATATCAGAATTCAACTTGGGGAGATAAATGGCCAATCCTAAGACAGTAAGAATTAAAACCATTGTGGAGAATATCAAGAACATGCTTCAGAAAATAACACAGTTAGTTCTTGAGTTGATCACAACATGCTTGAGCATTGATAATACACTCAAATGTATCAAAAACAACTGAAAATCCCAACAAGTATTTTGTAAAAGGAAAATGATTCTCTATCATATGGTACCATTTGCCGTTATGCTTCAACATTTTGAAATGATATCTAACCAAATCCTTTCGAAGTTACGAAAACTTATTCAAAATACAAACTTTAATCACAAACATTATTCCCAAACGAAGGAAGTCTTGAAGCTAGCCTAGTGACGAGTGGGTCTTAAGTAAATGGCCATCTTTTGGAAGAAGATGAATGGAATAAATAAATTCAAATACAAGAACTAATATAACATAGGAAATTTTCTATTTTTATGATTCAAATACTAACAGAAAGAGAGTAAATTGCGGCATACCTCTCTACCAGAAAAGCTCTGAGAAGTGAATGAAGCAGTCGAAGGCGAATCTGATTCAGAAGGAAATGAATCTGAACGGGCAACCAATGGAGGCGGGGGTTTGGGAAGGGAAGTTACCACAATATCCACTACATGAACCTCCCAGAGAATCCAATCTTGCGTCGCCGACCTATGAGGTACATCGTGCGTGACGGAGTTCCTCCACGGCGGCAATCCGCCGTTAGCTCTCAGAAATTGGCCGTACCTGCGGTTAAAAATCCGATCAATTTCCCGAATTAGGGCACAAATCGGGCAATAGAAATCGTCGATTTTAGCTAGGGCACAGTTACCTGGTCCTGAATTTCACCTGCGCGCCTTCCCTGACAGGTTCCCACTCCACGGAGGAGTCGAGACGGGTCGGCAAAGTATGCAGAACTTTCCGGCCAGTCATGCCGAGCAGGAAGGGGTGGTTCGAGGCGGTCAAGTACTTGCCGTAGCAGCTCTTCAGGCGGACGGCGTTGTCGGAGTTCTCCGGGATCTCCACCGACCACCGCGCGCTCGCAGAGGCGCCGTTCCTGTCCTGAGTGACTGACTCCTCGTCCTCCTCCGCCGTTAAGAACTTCTCGTGGTGGCTCCGCAGCCGCACCGTCTTCGCCCGTTGGAAGAGCTCCATTGCCGGGAGATGGATCGAAGGCGCCTGGCAAAAATGGTAAGGAATTGAATCCGTTTAGCAAAGGGAGTTGAAAAGTTCGAAAAGTGTCTGAAAAATTCTACTCCGATTCAATATATAATCTCGGAGAAGACGACGCGGTAACATTCATCGCCGTTCAATTAGCTGTTAATGGTAATCATTAGTACCGTATATGTATATCACGTGTTGTTCTGATTTTCAGCCTGTGTTTCGAAAGAACTTTTTTACATGTTTGAGATTAGCTTTTTAAAAAAATTAATACTCCTCCGTCCTATAATGATAGGAGCACTATTCCAACTTAACGGGAATTTATATTTATTTATGTTTTTTCGTGGCCTATATGATAAAATAAAACATTCTTGTCACCACTTGTTTTATTGAACTTTTGGTGTAGTTTTTAAATATGTATGTTTTATTTTTTATTTCTATACCAATATTTAAATAAAATAGATTGAAAAAACTTAGGATTTTTCTTCGTTTTGCGAACCGGGAAGATTATTATAAGACAGAGGGAGTATAAAGTATTTTTAAAAAATTAATGGTAACCCAAAATAATACTCCATCCGTCCCAAAAAGTTTGTTACGTTTAGAAAAAACTGAGTCCGGTAAAGTCCGTTACATTTCTATTAAAAAACCACTTTTGCCCCTTACTTTTTCATACCCTACTTATCACATCATACTTTTTTTCTAATAATCTACCATCACATCTTACTTTTACACATCACATCAAATGTATTTTTGGAAAGTCAATACCAAAATATCCCTCCCTTAATTTCCCAAAAAGTCAAACCGTCTCATTCTTTTTGGGATGGAGGGAATATTTTCAAATAAGGTCTAAGTGTATCTTTTAAGTTTAAGAAATGTGAATTTTATTATAAACTGTCTTTTAAGTCCAAGTAGATTTTCCAATAAAAAAAATTACTCGCATTTAAATAGAATAACTCCGCAGAAGATTAGATATATAAATAATTTTTAAATTTTACACTTATAATCAAACAAACTAAATTGAAAGCCAAATTCAGTCAAACTTTATGAACTGAAACAAGAAGTAACTTTTGAGACAGAGGAAGTATTTTATAATTACTCCCTTTTCAAATAAATAATTATTGGGAAAATATTCTTTTTTTAATCCTCTATATTTGGCCACTTTTTTTCTCAAATGGACTTATTACTATTGTATGCGCGACTGTTTCGAGAACTCATTTTTAAAAAAGTATAGGTTGAACGCTCATCAGAAATACCCTTACACTCTGTTTCCATAGAATAATAAAACCATAAATTATACTCCCTCCGTCCCTAAATATTTGCCGCACTTGTATTCTTGAGACAAAATATTAAGTTTTTTCAATTCATTTTATTTACATATTGGTATGGAAATAAAAAATAAAATTTACATATACAAAAACTACATGAAAAGTTCTTCGAAATAAGAGGTGTCAAGAATATTTTATTTTATCAAATAACCAATGAAAACGTAAAAATAAACAAAAGTTCCCGCAGTTACTGAAAAAACAAATGTTGTAAATATTTTGGGACGGAAGAAGTAATAATAATTCACAATATAGTTCAGATTTTAGAGAGCATATATCTAAATAAAATTTCGATAGGTTGAGAAAAAATGATTGTGTTGTACTACACATTGGGTACGGTGTTTGATAATTCATGAAATCTACTAGAAAAATATTTTTTCTTAAATATCGGATTTTTAGAAAACTTACATTTGTTGTTTTGACTTCAAAAAACGTGTTTCATTTTGAATAATGATACTCCCTCCGTTTCTTAAAACCCTTCCTCTTTCATTTTTTTTGTTTTTCTTAAAACACTTCCCCTTTCTATTAAAAAATCACTTTTACCCCTACTTTTTCATACCCTACCTATCACATCATACTTTTTCACTAACAACTAAACTATCACATCTTACTTTTACCCATCACATCAAGGGCAAAATTAGAAAGTCAACTACAATTTAACACTTCCTTATTTTCCACCAAAGTCAAAAGAGGAACTCTTTTAAGAAATAGAGGTAGTATTAAACTAATTCACGTGTGAACAAAAATATCTTTTGTCGGTAAGCTTATTATTATTATTATTATTCAATTTATTTATTCTTAGACGATTGTCCGATCAATTCTTAAGGGATCTTCAGGAACGAGACTCATCCTTTTAAAAGCCTAATCCAAACTTTTGCACACGGGCTCCAAAATCTTAGGACCCATACTGATATCTGTATAAGAATTAAGCTACTTCTACCCTAAAAGTTATAACCAAATTGTACACCACAAGTGAATACCTTCATTTTGTGTATGGTTTAGATAGGAACAAAAATGTTACTACAATTTTTTTTTATCATACTAGCATTTATTGTCAGCGTAGACTATAAGAAACGTTAATAGTATATATTTTTAGTGTATATTTTGGGATGCATATTCCTTATTGTAACCCTAGCATGGTTATTTATAAAATCCAGGTATTAAAAAAAAGAGAAGTAAAACATGGTTGCGTGGTCGTTGTTTGACTCGGTCAAACTTTGGAGCTTAGAAATGAAGAAGACTACCAAATAGGAAAGAGGTTTCCATGCGAGTTCAACTTTGAGGGTTATAACTCAAAAGAAAAAAAACATTGAGGGTCAAAATAGACGAATATTTATCATTATTTTAATAAAAATAACATTTTATAAAAATATAAAAAATATATTAATTATACCTTCCCACCAACAAAAACCATAAAATAATTACTTTTTCGTAATTTTTCAACCTTGTGCTATATTCAATATTCATCCACTAAGTATACGGAGTAATAATTAAGTACCAATAATAAAATGTGGAATGTAAATAAAGAGCATTCCTTATTAGTTAGGAGTGTTTTTCTGTGCCGGTGCTTATCGATTTATTGCTGATAAGCAGTTTTTAACTTATAAGCTGTTTATAAATCAAATATTTATTAATGAAAGTAAAATAACTTAAATGATAGATAAATCATTTGTAACTACTCATAAATGGTGAGGAGCACTTTTGTAAATAATCTGGTCAAAACGGAGAAATGAAAAGACTGTCTAAAAAGTAAGCAGCTAAGACCTTTTTATTTTTTCAGACTTATAAATTTAACTTATAAGCACACAGAAATATATCATTAAGTGACTTATTAGTTAAAAACAGCTTATAATCATTTTTTACCCATGCGGATAACCTAATTCGTCCAACATCATCATCCACAATTCCACGTCATCAAGAAGAGAAAGGATTCCTTCCCGGCAATTCCTATTGCCAAAAAAGTTGTGTGAATTTAAACTTGGCAAGCAAAGGTCCTATCTTTTTTTATTAAAGTTTTGAATCTTTCAATTATGGGCAGAATATTATTAATATTATTTCCTTCTAGAGAGACTTGCACTATATTTTGATCTTACTTATATTAAGATAAGGCTAAATTCTTACGCGGTGATGGATATCCGGTCTAGAAAGTGAGTCAAGTAGGTCCAAACATATTATTTTATGTCCGATATAATGAGACCGAATTTATATGGTAAAAAGCAAAGCAAGGACCAGTGGACCGAGAAAGACCGTGAGTGGGGATTCACCGAACCGAATCGAGTATGAGTGAAGCACAATCCCATTGATAATGGGTAATTGACCACGGATTCTGCGCTCACGATTGACGCACTTCAGTTCAATCATGTCGATAATATAGTGCATGAATTACATACCATGTACGCAGAATCCTTAGACTAAAAATAGAGGATAAATCTTCTATTGTTACTCAAGCCAAATCAAACTAATACAAGAATTACTGAAAACATATTTTTCTAAGAGTTTACCTTTATATATTTCGTTTAAGTTCTTCGTACCTCCATAGTTGGTCAGTCAATTCCCATCATGGGGATATCGAATTAGATTATACAAACATGATAAATAATTAAATACAAAGTTTTTTGTACTCCTTCCGTTTTAAAAATACTCTTCTTTCATTTTTTTTCACTTTTCTTAAAATACTTCCACTTTCAATTAAAAATGATATTAACAAATGATTATTCTTGGAGAAATGAACCATTCAATGCAACTAAGACCAAATGAGCCAAACTTAGTCAAACAAAATAATAGTCAAAGAAAAAAAACGCACCTTAGTTATCCCCGGAGAAAAACTTGACTGAACAGAAACCGGCGATCCGAAACCCAAGCCGGAAAGTTCACCGGAGATAGAAGAAAAGCTAGACACCATCGACAAATAATCCGTCACCGATTCGGTTTCCGGCGCCGGAACAGCTTCCACGTCCCACAAAATCCAGTTGTGCGTTGAAGTCGAGTGGGGATTATCGTGCGTTACAGAGTTCCTCCACGGCGGCGTTCCGCCGTTGGCCCGCAAATATGTTCCGCCGTAAGCCCTCAATTTTATCTAAATTTTGCCAATTTTAATACTAAATTACATTTTCTTTTGCATATTGTAAATTACATTTTATAAGGAATGAATTGTTATTTTTTATTTTTTTGCAAGATAAATCAAATAATATTATTTTAGTACTAATATATACAAAGTAATACTCTTTCCATCTCAATTTATATTATTCTTTTCATTTATGATATTTGAAAGAATTTATTTTCAATTTGTTCTATATGGGAATTAGTGTAGAAATTTAAAAATAATATTTCAATATTTAAAAATTACATTTAAAATTCTATAAAACTAGAGATGATATATTTACGTCATTCTAACAAATGAATAGGGAAAATGAACAATGTAATTAAAGTTTAATGGTTTAAATAGTGAACAAGCTATTTAAATTAAAACAAAGTAAATATAATTTTTATTCAATTAAGGATCAAAATTTATTTAATTTGATTGGAAGAAAAAAATTGAGAAAAAATGGTAATGGGCGCACACAAAATCTTTTCTTTCCATAATTGAAAAGAAAATGGGACAAACCAATAAAGAAACAACATTTATTTTTTTCTCTCTTTGACTCTAGTTTTCTTTCTTTTTATTTTCTCTTTATCAAACAAAGCATAAATCCCGCTTGTTTTGTAAAATGAGTCATGTTTTTTTTGTCAAAATGAGTCATGTTAAGTTGCACACAAGATTTGACACCTATAATTTGGCAACAAATAATTCTCCCTCCATTCCTAATTAACTCTCCGGTTTGTTTTATAAACTTAAATTTTGACCAAAAATATATTTTAAAAAATATTAAAAATAATACATTTAAAATATTTCTCGATATAATAATTTGGTAAATCTTTAATATTTTAATTCATTGTATATTTTTATATATAATTAGTCAAATGTTTGACACGCAAAACAAAACAAAAGTGACACTCATTATTTGTGACATACTTCCTCCGTCCCAGTATATTTGTCTACTTTTGATTATTTTCAGTGAAAATTGTTTGACGCTAACTTTAAATTAAATAAAAATGATATTAGATATTGATACAAAAATACTCCGTAGTTTTATTAGATTAATCATATGAAATATTTTCAAAATATTATGTTATGTAATTAATAATATATATATATATAAAATTTAATTATATGTCAAAGATTGAAAATGATTTATTAAAAAAATTAAAAGTGAAAAAGGCGAAGAATAATTTTCTGTGCATGTCTATAAACTCTTGGTGTCAAGCTCTCCGTTATGTCAAAATGTCAAATTTGGTGGGTTTCTATTTTTGTTTTTTAAAAAATTAATATTCTAGTAGAAATTTGTACCAAAAAATTGAAAAAAAAAATTTATTGACCTGAAATCCGTCCCGGAAAGGCTGCCACTCAACCCGCAAATCTCTAGAGTTGTCTTCACCGGTAAGGAGGACCTTATTTCCGGTCATGCCGAGGAGAAACGGTTGGTCGGAGGCGGTCAGGTAGCGGCCGCCGTGGCAGCTCCTGAGGCGGACGAAGTGGGTTTTGCCCTCCACGAGTTCCACGCGCCACCTGCCTTTACTCGACGCGCCGCCTCTGCTGCTCTGCCGCGTGTGCTCCTCGTCGTCGTCCGCCACCAAGTACTTGTTCAGGTGGCTCCTCAGCCGGACCTCCTTGGCTTTGTGAAATATCTCCATGCCGCACGGCGCTCTATTGATCCAAGAATAAGAAGAAGACTAATATAAGGGGATTGGATTTGATTCTGAATTATTCTTACTCTCTCCGTTCATTAATTTTTTTTTCTCATTTTTCTTTTTAAGCCAGTCAAAAATTTCTTTCCCGATTCCTATTTTGGCAACAAAATTTGAATGAATGTGTCATTATATTGTTACTCCCGTCGTCCATAAATGCTTTTTCCCGTTTGATTTTTTATGGTTTTCAGTATTACACATTGATCATTAAAATCTATATTTATACATAAATTTGTTTTATAAAAAATTGATATTTCAAAACTACATGACATTAGAAATATATTGATATTAAATTTATATCATACTCCCTCCGTCCCCTTGTATTTGTCCACATTTGACTTTTGGAACTGTTCATCTAAGCACTTTGACTCATCAAATTCTCTCAATGTGTAAGCCGAAATATAGTCATGTGTGATCTTGTTTGATCAAGAAAAAGTCAAATGTGAAGATCATTCCGGACATAAAGAGTATTTGTTATCTACACTATCCATTTTATTCCATCACATCAATGGTAAATATGAATTTTTTTATACTTTTTAATTTTTATTAATTTATGTGCCAAATCAAACTTGGAAAAAAAATTTAGATGAAGGAAATAATATTTTTTTATTTGGATTCTAGAATAGTTGAATTTGCTGCTTTAAGTATGAAAGAATGGACAAACTGGAGAAATGGATTTGTTTCATAGTTAGAGTTACAATAGCCCAAGTTGAGTTGGTTAAATATGCCAATCTTTACCATAATTCCATAACGATTTGTTTATGAAAAACGACCTCACGGTTCACGTGACATTCACACCCGAGTCTCTAAAGAAATAGAACCAATTTTCATAAATTCTATAAAACAAGAGACGGCAAAATATTTTATTTTATGATCGAAATGATCAATGAAAATATACAAACAAACAAAAATTATCGAGAAATCATAATAATAAGAATTTTTTTAATAGAGAAAGTACAACATTTTGTTCATTATTATTTATAAGCATATATAGATATATATCTAATACTAAAAATATGTGATGGGGGAAGATTCAAGTGACATTGGAGCGCAATGTCATGGGATGACCCGGAGGTGCTCCGGAGGCTCGTTCGTAAAATTGACGGTTCCTATCCTTCCTAACCCTCCAAGAAACCCCCCACCCGGCCCCGACCCGAACACACCACCTCACACCCTTCAATTGCACCCTACAAGTTAATTTTGACTTTAAAGTTAAATTTTGTTCCAAAATGGTGTACAAATGAATGCTGTACAAATGAGGTAAACCAAAATGGTATATCCCGGGCATGTCTCTATCAAGATGCCAATTCCCAAATAGATTGTGCACATGTCAAGCTCTTAGGATTTGAGTCTCTAATTTTTATACTCCCTCTGTCCCTAAATAATTTATACTTTACACAAAATGAAATAAAATCTCACGTTTTTCAAATCATTTTATTTAAAAATTCGTATATAAATAAAAAATAAAACTTACATATTTAATAAGTACATCAAAAGTTCTACAAAATAAGAGATGACAAGAATATTTTATTTCATCAAATAGTTAATGAAAACACACAAATAAACAAAAGTTCCTGTGATTTTTAAATAATGAAGTGTGTAAATCATTTAGGAACGGATGGAGTATAAGAGAGAAGACAGACAAACTCTAATGTGGGTTTAAAGTTAATGTTCATCTTATGGATCTTAGTTATTGATATCAGAAAAGAATTGATCATTTTGTAAAAAAAAAGAACCACTTGCAAACTCATAAAAAGTGTGAGAGGATTCATATTTCACGTATGGACCGTAAAATCACGAAAGAATTCTCCAAAAAAATTAAAGGATTAAGGATTTGGTATTTTGGTGAGATCATAGAGCAATAAATTGTATACACTCCGATTCGTATGTAAGACAATATGATTAAGCTATTAATTGGGACTAACTGAGTTGATTCAATTTCAAAAAGTCTTAAAAGTTTGTTGTCGGACTCTTGGACTTTAATGATATTTAAATTTTGAATAAAGTTAGGGGTACACTAAAAGTTACTCCATTTGAACAGCAGGCAAATATAAATAGTAAATTTCTGTAATCACATTTTGGTGCTTGCGTGGTGTAAAAAATGGAATACCTCATTTTGGTGTACCGCTAGCATTATCCTTAAATTTAAACCTTTTTATGAAGTATGTAATTATAAGCCTTCAAACAAGAAAGCGGAAGTCTTTAATGATAGAATAAAATATACGGAGTACTACGTAAAAACCTTTCTTGGGCCACAACTGCGAGTTTGGTTAAATTAGTTTCTTGACATGGTATCGCAATTCGGAACCTTGATGACTAAGAGGCCATGGATCGACGCCACACAAATAAAAAATTTAAAATTTCACGTACAAAGCTTGAAGCTGGCACACGTGATGAGGCATGCATGTTAGAATATAAAAACATTTTCTGACCCTACAACCACAAGTTTAGGCTTTTGATTGAGTTGATTTCTTGACATGATATCAAAACCTATCTTCTTGACTAAGAGATCACCGGTCGAGTTAGAATAAAATATAAAAATCTTTTCTGTGCCACAACTATAAGTTTGAGTTTTAAGTTGAGTTGTGATAGAATTTAGGATGGGGTATGGACAACTGGATTGGGCAATAAGACACTTGGGTTGAACCACATTAAAAGATTGAATCCAATCGATTAGTTAGTCCAACTCAAGAGCTTATATACCGGTTATTTTACTCTTGAACTTCCGATGTGGGATGCACTCTAACACTCCCCCTCAAGTGGACAACCGGGCCATTTTGAATCTAACCGGTTGACCACTTGCAAATGAACTCCCATTCCCTTGATTTTTTTTAGCGCCAATACCTAAAGGACCACGAGTCGTTGGGTATGGACTTCCAGACGAGCAATTGCGTTAAACGGGCCACAGGCCGTTGGATACATACTCCATACGGACAACTGGGCTAAAGACAAACGGGCCGCTAGGAATGAACGTCTAGACGGACACCTTGACAAACGAGGTGGGCCAAAACCTGCTCCGATACCATGATAGAATTTAGGATGGGGTATGGACAACTGGATTGGGCAATAAGACACTTGGGTTGAACCACATTAAAAGATTGAATCCAATCGATTAGTTAGCCCAACTCAAGAGCTTATATACCGGTTATTTTACTCTTGAACTTCCGATGTGGGATGCACTCTAACAAGTTGATTTCTTTTATAGTTAAAAACTTCTACTTTTGAATAAAATGACTTATATATCTAAATAAAGTAATTTGTTTCCCTTATCTTTTCGACCCTAAAGATATAATAGAAAAATCAAATTAAAAAACACAATCTACCAAAAGTCAAAATAAAAAACTATTTAAAAAAAGAGAGAGTAATATAGTGCTAATGTGCTATGCAATACCTTCAAAGAGAATTTAAACGTTAACCGTTGAGTGACATTGGAGTGATGAAAAATGTATTTCAATTGAAAATAGTGTTGACTTCTTTTGTTAACAATGAAATAAAATTTGACTTTTAAAGATTCTTTTGTCAAATAAAATATTGTGGCTTTTCTTCTCAAATTTATAGATGCTTAAATTAGAGCCCGCCTGCAAATCTCAATATTTATGGACTTAATGTGATACATTTATGCTGCAATTTGTCTTTCAATTTTGATACTAGAAAATCCTCCATGAAAGTGTTGGTTATTATATGCTCCCTAATAATATTGTTGGTGATTGTATTTTGGGAGAAAGTTTAAAATAAAAGCAAAATAAAAGGACCTTTAAAACATTCATATTTTTATATCCAAAAAAAGACCTATAAAGCCAACATATAATACATAATACTAAAGGATATATGTTGTGAAATGACAATATACAACATTAAATTGTCACTCATTAATAGTCATATTTTGTGTGGTCAAAAATATGTCGGCAATATTTTGAGGATAAAAGCTATGTTTTGTTTTTATTTTAAATGATTTTTCTATATTTTTATAAACAAATAGTTTCATCTACATCCAAATCCCCACAAGTGTTTCAGTTTCTAACAGAAGAAGTATTGCATACTCCAAGTTATTTATAGGATAAACTGCTTACAAGATTCTTATATTTTTTGAAAGTATCCATGGATTATTTTAAGTAGTTACTAGATCCTATACATTTTTTAAAGTGTTCCATAGGTCCCTAAACTATTTTTTAGTTCCTACCAAGTATATATAATTCGTAGCTGGAGCATTAGTAGTCCCTTCAGTGGCATTTTCCATATTAAGTACGCTGAAATTATCTGAACAATACGTACAAGTTATGATATAACGTCAATTTTTACAACAATTTCAAGTCTCAAAAAGCCACCGAATGGACCACTAATGCATTGGTAAAAAAGAATAGGAATCAAATAAACACTAAAAATAATTTGGGGTCCTGTGAAGTACTTTTAAAATAATATAGCGACCTTGTAAACACTTAAAATAATTCAGGAACTTGAAAAAGACTTTTAAAAAACATAGGGACCTTGTAAGCATTTACTACTTATTTATAATATGTCATCATTCCCGAAGAGTGTGCGAGGTTGCTACCCGCACAGGGCCCCCGAATATAAATTTATGTTTTATTATTCAAATTAATATTAAATTAAAACTCTTGTACTAATGAGGCAGGGTAATCATATTTATTGAGATCATTCTTGTTCTCCACATCCGATGTGGCATAGGTTTGCAACTCAACATATAAACATGTTTATTATGTTATATAACATGAGAAAAATACATAAATAAACTAAAACAATGCACTTTTTCGTAAATAGGATCAATCCTATTGACATTAAGAGAGGTGGAGTGAAAGGACTAAACTATCCTTTGTCCTAGTGGAGTGAAAGGACTACACCATTTGTGCATGTTCTCCCTCATAAAAAGAGAGAATACCAAAATAGAAGTAAAAATTGATAAAATACTAAAATAGAGGGATATTCTTCTTATTACCTAAATAGATGTCCACATTGCCACCGGAGCACTACCGTACGTCGGGCCGCTGCACCACGATCGATTGTCGGAGTTCTGTCATCGGTCAGCGGTGTTGGCCACTATTGACCGATAGTCCACCACCACCACACTCCACTATCACACTTCCACTATTTATACTGTTATTTTGTCGTCAACATTCACACTATGAACTCTCATTTAAGAAATAAAAATAGTAAACTATATTTTGTCATTCTGAAATATTTTACTCCTATTTAAAGTCATTTCTTTAAGACCTGTTCTTTTCGGTTGGAAAAATAAAGTTGGATGTTGGAAGAAACTGAAAAGAGTAAGAAGAAATTGGAAAAAGTTAGAAAAAAGTGGAAGGAGTTGAAAGAAACTGAAAGGAGTTCGAAAAAACTGGAAGGAGTTGGGAGAAATTGGAAAGAACTAGAATATGTTGGAAGAAGCAGAAAAAACTTAGAATAAAGTGCAAAGAGTTAAAAAATGTTGGAAGTTTGGAATTAATGTTCAAAAAAACATAGCCTAAATGAGAAAGAAATTGAAATGAACTAAAAAATTTGGACAAAATTGGAAGAAGTAAAGAAACTCAAAAGTTGAGGAAAAAAATATTAATTTATTTGGAGTTGGCCCAAACATATCAATAATAATATAATACCCAACCCAGCAGCCCATTTACTCAAGCCCATCATATATTCTTTAACCAAATTAAGCTTACCTTAATTACCACCCTAATCTCAACCATATATAGAGAGGGGGGTTTTTTCTTCTCTGATTCTTATAAGTATTATATGCATAATGCATTAATGCAGCTGCTAATCGCAACAAATATTTTCACTTCTTTGACATCAAGATAACTGGCAAAAACTACTAAACCAACCCGCCTCCCAACACCTAACCACGGTTAGCTAGCTGATTAGGGGAAGCAAGGTCATATTAATTATTGTTATGGTGAGTGTTTCTCTGGGTTGCTCTTTGCCGGTCCTTATTAATTTCTTACTTATAAGCAATTTTTAATATATAAGCTGAATATTCTTTTGTGGAAATAAAATGACTTCAATGATAGATAAACATTTGGAAATGATATGGTCAAAACAAAAAAAAAAAACTGGTTTAAAAATTAGTACTAGTTAAGGCATACTTATTTATCTGATTTATACAATCTTGACCAGCTTATAAGCATAGAATAAGATGTCATCAGCTGACTTATAAGTTAAAAACATGACCAGCTTATAAACACAGAAAAACACTCACACGGTAGACCTTACTCCAGATTAAAAGGGGAATGGCTTAATGTCAGCAGATTTCATTTGCCATATCTTCACAGATGCTTTAACACTTGCCCCAGTGGCATTGTTGAACAAGAACACTCTTCTTGCTTCATAAATAGCTTTAGTTGGATATACTCTTGATGTTATAACTGTTCTTCCTCCTTGAGCAAAGCTCTCCACAATGGAATGATCAACCTGTCGTTCGATGAGCAGAAGTAAAAATCCGGGTAATCTAACAATACACGACAAACTAAAGAAAATCAAATTGTGAATTATTTGTATCTGTAACGTTTGAAACAATCCACTGATTTTTGAATTGATACGATAGAGCATCAACGGTTCACAAAACAAAACAAAAAAAGATTTCACGAAATAGGATATTTTACATATAGTAAGTAGGCAAAATAACATACTTCAATTCAGCTCAACACCTTCCAATAAAGTTGAATTGAACACTTTTAAATTTCGTTCATCTTAGTTAAATAAACATATCCTTAGTTTTTCAAAAAAAAAAAACATATCCTTAGTTATTCTGACATAGATAAATCTCGATGCATCAAACTACAATGGGACATTCAGAGGTGAGTTTTAAAAAAATGGCACAGAAATATACCAATATTCTGGCAGAGTATATTTCTTCATCAAAAGTAGGTACAGTACTGCCATAAACTTCTTTCTCAACTCCAGAAGCCTGTGATGATCTGCAGCAATCACGTTTCATAGCTGTTGATACATACATGTATAGGCATATAGACATAGATACACACACTAATCCCAGATAGACATTTGATACGATCTTAATCAGTCTAATTTGTTCACATCTTATTACTCAATCTAATCAAACCTTAGTTGTACTAATGGTGCCAAACTATATCGAACTAATTCAAAAATGCACCATTTGTACTTATAGTCACCGTGTTAAAGAACATCTAGGCAAACTAGACAAGTCAAATTGACAAAGTGTATTCCCATCTTATTTTGCACAAACTTTGCATATCGAGTTTGACCTGGAAACTTGTTTTAGTTTCCTTTGGTTAAACTCAATCCGTTTAGTTTCATAAATAATCAGCATAATAATCAACTTGCACCAAACTAGCCCGTATCTGAAAGTGCTAAACTTGAAGCCCGCAGAACACAGTACTTGAAAACATTAGCGGGAGGATTTGTGTGAACCATTTACACTGCACATAAATTCAGTCTCATAATTTCATAGTTGCAATCCACACTCGTCATTTATTTTTTTCCTAGACTTTTTTAATCTAATCACGTTTTCTACTCAAATTTACGCCCAGTAACCAGGTAAGGTAAAGAAGCCAACCTTGTCAAGTCAGTGCAGAAATGAGTCTCACCGTTCCCATTAACACCTTTGTCAATATAGAAATAAACTGGTGTAAGCTCGGTCAGAGTTTCATCCGCCACAACTGCTATACCAAATGGCCCCAAAATGCCTCTGTTAACAGAGCCACCACTATTATTGCAGTTGTACTTAGAGTTATCGTCCTTCGATGCAGCTTCAAGAGCCCCCTTATCCACTTGAAATGATACAGTAATGTCTAGCTATAGTGTTTCAAATCTCTCATTAAATGACATCATTTAAAGTAATTTATATTGTGGTTTTCTTAGGGACAGAAGTGGATACCTGTGTAGCCATTGAAACATTGATTGGCAAGAGTGAACCCGGTTGAAGATTCACCTCAGTGACTACAGGATCACCTAATCTCAAGCTCTCAATTTCTTCAATTGGCCACTGAAGCAGATGACTCCCAGTTTTTTTGTCAAAATTAAGCGTCCTAGGAATACCCTGGTTAATCAAATGACGTAGTCGGTCATACTAAAATATACTAAGTCACCAACTGATTCTTAAGCAACATCCATTAATTCTTTGATAGTCCAACACATTTCATATGCTTAGTCTTGTTTGGTTCAAAAGGGTGGTGGAGAATTGGGAATTAGGAATTGATAAACAAAATGTTTAGTTCAATGGAATTAATGTTTGGGAATATGTACGTCCATCGTTGTTGCATATGTACACCACGGTTCTTTTGACACCAGATATACATAATGGTATCAATGTGAACAAGATTTGAGGAAATCAAAATGCAAGTACTCCCTTCGTCCCAAAATGGATGCCACTGTCACTATTGCGGCTTCTCGATAACTTCTGTTAGTTTGTATGTTTTCATTGATCATTTGAAGAAATAAAATATTCTTGTCACTTCTTGTTTTGTAGAACTTTTGATATAGTTTTGAACGGTGTAATGTATGCTATTTGTTTCTATACAAATTTGTAGTAAAAAATGATTTTAAAATTGATGGGATTTTGCACGTTCTTTGGAGAGTGGTATCCATTGTGGGACGGAGGGAGTATATTTTACTCCATATGTACCTGGACAGATGCCCAACCCTTTGCAATGTCAACATCTTTAGGATCACTTTCCCCAATCCAAGCAAACAAAATTCTTCTATGCTTGTTCTGGTCATAAAATGTCTTTGATGCATAACATTTCCCGTAATCAACTCTCAACCCCTTACCTATATCCAATTGTGGATAATCGGGTGTCCACGTTTTCTTTAAAGGGTCATACGTACCAATAGCATAATAATCATGTGTTTCATCGTACAAACTAGCCTTGAGGACATGCTTGATACCCGACCCATTAATTGATTGGCCAGACCCATTGTCGTAGACGGATGAAATTGGGAAAAAGTCCACACACTCCCACATACCTGTACCCGGAACCGAATGCAAGAATCCATCCAAAAGCTTATATCTTTTAAAATCAGCAGTTTCATAAACAAATGCAACACCTGTTTTATTAAGCTGGGACCCTATAGTTAGAAACCAGTGGCCATTTTTCTGGTCAGCCCAAGCCGTAGTCGGGTCCCTAAACTCCAACAGACCAACGCCGGGTGGAGGAATAATAACTGGGTTACCCGGATACTTGGTCCATTTAAGGAGGAGGGGATCAGAAAGATTGGCGGGATATGCAAGATTTTGCACCTGCACATCTGTGTTCCCAGTGTAGACCACCATGATCTGTCCATCAGGAAGGGTTGTGGCAGAGCCAGTCCAAACACCACGCAAGTCATAGGACTGATCAGGGACCATTGCCCGTGGCAGATGGAGCCAGTGAATCATGTCTTTTGATACTGCATGACCCCATGTGATATTTTCCACCCACACAGCTGAACTTGGGTTGTATTGGTAGAAAAGGTGGTACCACCCTCTGTGGTATAATGGGGCTGTGATGCAATTTTTTTTATCCATGCAACTTTTAGAATGATAAAACTCATACCGAAATGATAATACTGTATATCGATTTTTTGTTTTAGACTAACAGATAACAGTATCAGTATATATGGGACAATGGATCATTTGCTAGTCCATATAAATGGGAAAAGTTGAAACTTTGATAATTGCCTTCGGTTTGAATAATCCTTATTTGATGCCTTCCTATATGCCCTTAAACATGCTTTAAATTTGTTTTATACACAGTTGACACAAAACAATACTCCCTCCGTCCGGAAATATTCTTCCCACTTTCTTGTTTGGTCCGTCCGGAAATATTCTTCCCATTTCCTTTTTTAGTATACTTTTTAAGGATAAATTTCAATAATACCCTTCTATTTTATCTCTAATCTACTTTTTTATTGCTTTTTTAATAAGAAAAGGAGATTTAAAAGTTTATAGTATGTGCATTTTTGAAAATTTGGCATTTTTTTTACTACTCCTTAATAAGCGTGCCAAGTCAACACGGGAAGAATATTCCCGGACGGAGGGAGTAATAATTAGGTGATTACAAGTGAAGAAAGAAAAACAAGACATTAAATAAAATTGCAGAAAATGTAACATACCATAATTTTGAGTGATGTGCATAATTAAACACTCAAACATAAGATCATAGTAGTTATAGACATGCTTATTAGACCTTGTCACTTTTACTCTTTACTACTGACATGGATCCAGCAAGAACCACGGTCTTTTACAATGAGGCAGAAGTGTAAGGCAGTCTCTCCAGTGCCAGGACCACCAACTGGTTACCTGTCGTCCTGTCATTTATTTACCCACTTTTATTCCATTTATGTTTTTTTTTAAATGTTGTTTTTACAATTTCCAGGACATCTAGAGACAGGAACCAAAGATGGTACAAAATCGAGACCAGCCAATCATTAAAACCGGAAAATTGTGTGGTTGATATTGAAGATAAAAAGTAAGACAATGTAAAATATAATGTGATTGAGCTTATGTTAACTGAACTAATAGTTACTGAACATGTGCATACTAAGCTGAATAAAACTTATAAGTACTAAACTAAATAATAATCACAATAATTATAATTGATACAATTTGATAAGAATTAGTCTTATTGAATAATGAAGATTAAAGATTCTTACAGTATTTATACAAGAGATTTCTAACTAAAGTAGGAATACATAACATGGTAATAAATATAATAAGGAAACTAAACACAATAGAAAAGTATTAAATAATACTCCGTATCTTCTATTGATAATAATAGTAATAATAGTAATCCCGAACTGAATGATACTGAAATGAAAGAGCATTACTGAAACTAAGTGTCATTGAACATCCCCTGGATATCTAAATATGATGCGAGACAAAAACAGTGGGATACAAAAGGTAAAAAGGGGCAAAAATAGTGGGACAAAGGTAGTTATTTGGATGAAAAAGAAAAGAACGTATAATGAATGGAAATAGAGTGGAGGATAAGTAATAAGAAGGGAAGGGGGAATGTAGATGAACCCTTTGTTTGGGAGAGGAAAAATTGTGAAGTGGAATTAATGGACATGTAAGCAATAGAAATTAAAAAAAATACCACCACATCACTTTTTACTAAATATATAATGCCAAAAATCAAGAAGTTCACAAGAGAAGTTTGGGAAATGGTTAGTTAGTATTTTCCTAGTTAAACTAGTACTTGTTGACCAATTAGTTTCCTTTTTATTAAAATTCTTTTACTAAGATGCCTTATTTTCTTGTTTCAAGATCTTCCTAGTCTTTCATTATTGTATAATTTCACGACAGGTAAAGATGCATAAGAGCCACTGAGCCATTATTATTAGTGAACATACACCAGCTTCAAGGCGTTAAAGCTCTCTACTAATTGCTCTTCAGCATCTCATTCGATTCAGTACTGTGTTGAAACAATACTGAATTGGGTAGAAAAATCTAGCTGAAATGAGTGTAGAGAATCACATTGTGTCTCCTTCCTTTCGCTACAGCCCTCCTAAAGAAGGGCACAATTCCTCTTACATTCCATTAATCACTAGATTGGTTCAAAGCAAAAGGCAGGTCCATGTCTATTTAGAGCTTGTTCTCTTAAACTTATTCTTTTTTACTTGTTACTTATTCTTTCAGAAACATCTCTAAATATAACTACAATCACATCATATCTTAATTGAATCGAATCAGATCAGAACCAATTAGATAAATTGAAGATTGAAGAGAAAAAGCCCTAAGTCAGATTTTAATTCCCTGAGCCATAAGAATCTTAAGCAATGAAAATTGTTTATCATAATAAATAATTACTCCATATATGGGAACAGAATATGAACAAAACAAGAGTGTGCATTGTACAATACCATTTGGGTCTGTGATATAATCATTCCATCCGTGCCGTCCCAAAAAGCATCCACAAAATTAAAATGAAAGAGCAAAAAGAACTCAAATCAACTCTTCAAAACAGAAAATTATACTTATTCAAATCTCATAAATAAACTGCAGTCAATTCAATCAATGCACTCCGTACCGTTCATCCAGCCATTTTGAGGTTGAAAATGGAAGGCTGCTCTTTGCCAAGTCAACATCCGATTAGTCCAAGGGTACGACGCGCCATCGCCAGACGCCTCTCCCGGAGAAGAGACCTCAGCCCCGGCGACCGGTGAAGTCGCCGGCGGGGAAGGATCTAGAAAGGTTTCGTTTCCGCGGTGTTCAGATTTTAGCGGGGGTGATCGACTGAGGAACACAGCGAGTGAGAAGACTAAGGCGAGAGAGGGCATGAGAGTGCCGGTGACGATTGAGGAACTCCGGCGATCAGTCGGGTCTCGAGCGGGTGGATTCTGATCGGGCAGGTCAGTGTAAGAATGTCTGAAGGTGGAACTGTCTATTTGTAGTTTGATTTTTTCGAAATTACAGACACATTTTAAAATTACTATCCAATCGTACTCCCTCCCTCCCATACCACAGATGAGGTTGGGCAAATTAGGATACTACCCGAACATTTATGGATATGGCATGAACTCCAAAACTATAATATGATACTCATGCTAAAATGTCTCAAAAAAATAAAAACAAGCATTACTCAAACGATATTAAAATAAAAGCATAATTTTGTGTGAAAAAAGTGCAACTTTGTTAAATATAAGTATTGATTTTGAATTTAAAAGAATCATAAACATAAAGAATAAAATATAATGAGTTCAAATTTTAAAAAATAGATTTTTTTTTCAATTCATACAATATCAGACTATTAATAACTCTAAAAAAATAATGATAATAGTAGTACTCATCAGTTTTAATGGTAATAGAAGTATTGAAAAAAAATCAACAATAATATTGAAAAAAATCTAAAAATGAATAATACAATACAAAATACTCTATAAATGATAAGCTCCTTGGAATCAATGTCTTAGAGCACGAGCAATGGCAAGGAGAAAGTGAAATGCCACACGCTGACGTGTTATATTTTGACCAATAAAATATAGTCCAGTCATGTAGTGTCACATGAGTTGAGTGGCAATTCCTGCAATGACAAGTAAGTATTTTTCTACTTTTTTAAATATATACTTCATATTAATAATAAATATTATATCACCGGAGTATATTTTATCACAAAAAACCTTTCTCTCTTTTTATAAAATATTGGAGATTCAAGTTCATAATTATTGAAATTTAAAATTCTGAAATCCTAATTAAAGTAAACAAATTGAAGAATCCAACATTTTACTAGCTCCATTGTTTCCTTCATCTCTCAACAAAAGCCTACAACCTTCTCCGTCGTGCAGACAAGTTAGAGCATCCAACAGATTCACAGCCTTCCTACAAATTCACAGCCCCACTGTTGTGTCTTTGCCGGGTGAAAACCTAGATCGGTCCATTACTTCCTCTGATCTAAATCTTTTCTTCAATTTTATTTGAAAAGAAGAAGAAGATTCTTCAATCTTCCATCTCAAATACTCCAATAATAATTAATAAAAAATAATAATTGTGAAACTAATATTGCCTCGCAGATAGCACGATAGGTGGGGTGGAACGCCCCTGAATTGCCTCGTGCCTCGCCTCCACTCGCTGATGTGGCAGGGCGTGTCATTCCTTTGACACGCCGCTGGTGATGCTCTTAGGATGACTTGGGGTGTTTCGGTGTCCGGTTCGTAAAATTGATGGTTGCTACCCTCCTAACTCCTCCGGTAAACCTTCCATCCCGTCCCGACCCGAACACACCCCCACCCCCTTCAATTACACTCCCAAATTAATTAGTTTTACAAATAATTGTAATCTAACTCAAAGCAATTATTAATCAAACAATCTCACTTAAACAAGACCGGGTCGTGTGTAATTCATTCAACACGCCATTTAGAAATCTCAATTAAAATCTGTTAATGACTTCTTCTTCTTCTTCTTCTTTTAAGTACAAATAATCTGTTAAATAATTACTTTAGTTCATACATAGCCACAAAATTTTCTTCTTCAAATAATGCATTAAAAAAACACTATTTTCTCTCATCCATCTACAAATCTATATATTTGGCAGTTGAAAATGCTGGATATCAGCTTGTTTCTCGCCATTTATTGTTCATCTATTAAACAAATTAATTTCTTCACTATAATAATCATTTTTTTCTTAGCTTATATATATATGTGTGTGTTTTTTTTATCAATCCATCAATTGTTAGGGGATGAATTGAAATTGATCAATAATCATATATTGTGGTAATTAATTACTCCATATTGAGAAGAATAAAAAGAAAAAATGGAGTTGAAGGAATCGCTGACGTCGTCGACGAGCAAGGGGGGAGATTCGACGGATTTCGAAGTGGAGCATCATCAAACTCTGAGCGATAAGCTCAAAGCCTTCAAATCCTCAGCCTTCGATCCCGAAGCTTACGTCTCCACCAAATGCCGCTCCATTAGCGAAAAGGTTCTCTCTCTAAGCCCACGTTTATTTTCAGCTTATTCTATATGGTTTCAAGATTCACATTTTTTATAAAAGGTCTCAAGATTCATATCTAAAACATGGATATTCTCATATTTTCTAGTAAAATTTGTACTAAATTGGACTAAAACATAATGACTTTCCTAATGTAGGACTTAAACTTTTTTATTCCCTAAATAGGACTTAATAATGACCTAGTGGGAGGAATAATGTCCAGTAATGATGGACATTTACTTAAATAATGACTACTTGATAATGACCAAAAGTCCTACACTAGGAAATAAAAACATATGGTCCTATATTGGAAAAGTCATTATGTTTTAGTCCTATTTAGGTAAATTTCTCTATTTTCTATACAATGACATGTCGATATTTTCTTTTTTTTTAAGATTTACTTCTTTTATGCTATAAATACACTAAGGTTGAGCATGGAACTTAGGTATAGGGAAGAATTTGCCTTTGGAACAACTTTTTTCATTTCTCAAATTAATTTTAAAAATGCTAAGGGTCTGTCTGGTACACGAAATTGACGGAATTGAAATTAAATTGAGAGTAGAATTTTTATGGAATTAGTTTGAACTTTGAATGGAATTGAATTCTCTAATTCCTATTCATTTTTGGCATTACGAATTCTAAATCCACATATTTTTGTGTTACCAAAAAACACTTGAATTAAAATTGTTGTCGCTCACATATTACTCATATTTTTGTTTTAAAAGACTTGAAACTTTTATTTCGGTATTTTCATACTTTTTTTTACTCTTTTTCAGGTAGATTTCTTTTTTTATTAGATGCATTTATCTTGATAACACTATAAAACACCTTCAAGTATAATGCCATCACTAAATATGAATGAGCAAATGAATTTCTCAATAATTATCTATTATTATTGTTGTGAAAGTGATAATAATCAATAAAATGTGTCATCAAATTTCATTGTGTGTGTATAATTATTTGTGCATATGGGATGAGCAGGAAACAAGGCACTTGTTACACTACCTTGTGGAATTGAAGAAGGCTTCTGCAGAGGAAATGCGCAAAAGTGTTTATGCTAATTATTCCGCTTTTATCCGGTAAGAGCATTGGAAATGGTCATGAAGCCCCGGGGTTTCAAACTGGGGTTCAAACTTTTATTTTTTACATTTTTAAATATACATCTTCTAAATTTAAATTAATAAATTTAAAATAATTAATTATTTTAATTAATCGCAATGACACTAGTGCATTAAAAAAATTAAATTCATTATAAAAAAATCTTACATTCATAAAAAAAACATTAAAAAAATTACATTCCTAAAAAAAATTACATAAAAAAACAACAGTACAAAGAAATCACTAATTATTCGAACGACTAAAGATATGCTCGATCAAATCCGCCGTCAGTGTATTGTGAATCTCTCGGCTTCGAATTTCTTGGCGGTTGCGTCGTTTTTTTACTTCGGTGATTTCTTCGTACATAGACACCTCCTCGTCTGGGTTGTATTGACAAATCGCATACCTGTTATCCTCTATGATCATATTATGAAGAATAATACATGCGTAAATGATATTTCGTCTGCCCGTCATTCGNAAGCCGTTGGGGGGATGACGAAGGGCCGAGCCGTGTCAAACGAATGACGGGCAGGCGATGACGCCTCTTTAACGCCGCCGGGGGGCGGTGTTTAACGCCTCCGGGGCGTTTAACACCCCCTCACGCCCCCGGGCATTACTACCATTGCCAGTGCTCTAACCTAAACTCTTGTATTTAAGTTAAGTACCCTTGGTTCCCATGACTTTGGGAACTAATGTCATGGGATGACCCGAGATGCTCTAGTGGCTCGTTCGTAAAATTGACGGTTTCTACTCCCTAATCCCTCGGTAAACCCCCCACCCCGACCCGATCACACCCCCATGTTAATTTTGACTTTGGAGTCAAAATATTATTTTATCTAATTAATAATAATATATATATTATTTAGTTAAAAGTCAAAAATTAAAAATAATTAATTAAAAAGTCAAAAGATAAACAAATACTCAGAGACAAGATAATTTTTGTTGTTGTTGTTAATTACACTAGTATGTAATGCATGCAGCACATCAAGAGAGATATCAGATCTTGAAGGGCAACTAATAGCGTTGAGGAATCACCTCTCTAACCGGGCGTCCATAATCCAAGGACTAGCCGAAGCCACAAATCTCAATTCCCTTTCTACCCCCGAATCTCTATCAAAAGATGAAATTTCCAGCTTCGAATCATCAGCCGTGGAGCCCACCCCCATCGACGAGTGGAGGGCCCACTTCACGGAATCGCTCGAAGTGCTACTCGCCGAGAGGCGCGTGGACGAGGCGTTAGACGCGCTTGACGAGGCAGAGAAGGTGGCCAATAATGCGCCGGATAATGCGGGAACGGATCGGCGGCCGTTACTAACTCCGTCTGCTTTATCGTCGCTGCGGGCCGCCATTGCGGAGCAGAGGCGGAAGCTGGGGAATCTGTTGGCGGACGCCGCTCGCCAGGCCTCCATCAGCGGCTTCGAGCTCCGATCCGTCGTCACGGCGTTGAAGCGGCTCGGGGACGGGCCCCACGCGCACGCGCTGCTCTTGACGTCGCACCGCCGGAAGCTACAGAGCAACACGCAGACGCTCCGCCCCTCCGGCGCGACGCACGGGGTGGCGTACACGGCGGCGCTCTCGCACCTCGTGTTCTCGACGATCGCGCAGGGGGCGAGCGATTCGCTGACGATATTCGACGACGAGCCGGCGTATTCGTCGGAGCTGGTGACGTGGTCCGTGAGCGAGACGGAGGCCTACGCGCGGCTCATCACCAGACACGTCCTGGCTTCTCCGGCGGCGTTCGGAGGGCTGAGAGCCGTCGCGGAGTGCGTCCAGATATGCCTGGGCCACTGCTCGCTTTTGGAAGCTCGAGGGCTGTCCCTTTCGCCGGTTCTGCTGAAGCACTTCAGGCCTTTCGTTGACCGAGCATTGACCGCCAACCTGAAAAGGATCGAGCAGTGTACCACCGCACTCGCGGCGGCGGACGATTGGCTGCTTGTTCATTCGCCTATGGGATCGCGCTCTTTCGGAACTTCGCCTCTCGCCGCGGCCATGATATCCCAACCTAAGCTCTCTGCCAGTGCACACAGATTCAATACCATGGTTCAGGTTTGTGGCATTAAAGATTGTCTGCATTTTTTATTGAGAAATTTACTTAAATCGCACCAAAACATAATGACTTTTTCTAAATAGTATCACATGTGTTTTTCTTCTAAATGTAGCATTTTTAGTCATTATGCATTAGTCATTATTCAAGTAAATATTCGTCATCACTGGACATTATGAACATTATTAAGTGCTATTTAGAGAATAAAACATTTTAAGTGTTATTTAGAGAAATGACTTTAGTTTTAGTGCTATTTAGTGCAAATATTTCTATTTTATTTTTAAACTCAAATAGTCAAATGGAACGATTTTTTTATATTCCAAACCATTTTTAAGACAATGAAATGCCTGTATTTAGTGAAAACAAATACACCCTCGATCTATCCGCATAAGATCTTCTCGTTTAGACTTTTTGTAGTTTTTAAGAAGAGTTGAAGAAGGGTGAAAGTTTACCATAATATCCTTAATGAAAATGGTTGGAGTGTATTAAATGAGGTAGGTAAGATGTAATAAATAAAATAAATAAGAGTAGTTGTGGTATTTCAATTGTTAAAAAAAATTTTAAAAAAATCTATGGTGGAGAAATAAAAATAGCTAATGAGAAAATATATGCACCAATGTCTACACCATATAAAAGTTCACTCCCATAGTTCGTCTCCACCATCATCATTCACTCTGATGCATCGGTGATTTTTCGACAAAGACGAGTCCTTCCCCTTCTTCCTCTGTGCAGACATTCCAAGAGTGGTTCTTCAAATTCGAGGTAATTTTTTGGCCAATTTATTTGTCAATCCTTGAGAGCATTTTCTTTTTTTTTAATATCAAGGGTTTTATTTATGAAATATTTGTATTAAATAGCACTAAAACTTAAGTTATTTTCCTAGATAACATTTAAATTATTTTATTCTCTAAATAGCACTTAATAATCTTCACAATGTCCAGTGACGACGAACTTTTACTTGAATAATGACTAATGGATAATGACTAAAAGTGATCCATTGGAAAAAAAAATACATGTGATGCTATTTAGGGAAAGTCATTACGTTTTAGTGCTATTTACGTGTATTGTCCTTTATATATCACATTGTATTCAAAATCAATGCTTCAATCCCTTCTTAAGCAAATATCAACCACCTTTTAATGTCAAGCACTCCACTCCTAATAATATTATACAATGTCAAGCACTCCACTCCTAACAATGTCCCAACTTGTTCCTTCAAATCAAATTTCCCAGCTCAGTACTCTCTTTTTTGTAGATAATCGTGTGGCCAACAACCATATATTTGAGAAGTTGTGTGATGGTTGCGCAATTTTCATACTCCCTCCGTCCACAAATAAAGTTCACATTGCGCGTTACGATGTTTGACTGAAATTTTTTCAAATCATTTTATATGAAAAATGATATGGAATTAAAAAATAAAAATTACATATTTAAAAACTACATGAAAAGATCTACAAAACTAGATGTAACATGACTATATTATTTTATCACATAAGACACCAAAATAGGCCAACAAAGTGAATAAAGTTTGACCATGTGAATAGTGAACGAGAACTTTATTGTTGGACAGAGGGAGTATATTCAATTCTTTGGGCAACTCATCCATGTCATGTTGTTGCATATGACACCTAAGCACTCAGAGGATGAGCTATGGTCTTTTATAAATAACAAAGTAGAGAAATAGTATTTTGAGGATTGGTGCAAGATTATTGGTTTTCGAGGCATAATGGAATTTCCAGAAGTTGAGGAAAAGGATGACGATGTGGGCAGTATTTGCAAGAAATTTCTAGAGGTGAAGTGCACCTTCGTCAGCAATACCCAAATTTCGAGCCGAGTGATAGTGTTGAGGCATACGTCAATGAGTTGGTCCAGTTCTTTATGTTATACTTTGCATAGTGTGTCCTAGTTGCCAAGGACAAGGATATTTCTGTTAATTTGTCTCACGTGAAGCTGATTGACAACATAGAAGAAGTTTGAGGGTTATCCATGGGGTGGTCATCCTACATCCTCACAGTGAAGCATAAAGTCCGCAATAGATGGGCAGCTTTAGAAGTTTATGAGCAGAAGAAAGATTTAAGGCTGAAATTAAAAGGTTGAAAGAAGCTTTCTAGAGATTCTCAATTTCATGGCAAGTAATATTTTAATACTAAAATAATGATCCAAGTCTTTTTATGGTACTCTACTATTTAGTTTTAAATGGTGAATGATTTCCAAATATGGGCATATAAGAAGTTCGCAATCCTGTCTAAAGATAACTACGCATCAAGGCTTGTAAACAGCGCTTGTGCAATGCTAAATTGGAAATACACGAGATGTCACTAGTTTAGTGCCTTGATGGAACACTTATTCACTGAGATCCTAGGGGGAGACGGGCAGAAACTAGTAAGAACATTATTATAATTGTCTTTTTAATACAGGCACACGCTCATGGCAATTTATTTGAACTAGCATTGTACTAGTTATAGTGATTTTTAATATATACACACTAACAATGATTTATTTGGTAATATAAAAATCTCAGTGAATTAGAGTTTCATCAAGGCAATAAATTGGTGACACCTCTCAGATTTCCAGTTCTGCATTGCACATGCATTGTTCCCGAGCCTTTATGCATTGTTCTCTTTTGAGAGGATTGGAATTTGCTCGTATGCCGATATCTAAAAATCATTCACCATTTCAAACCAAATAATATAATACCATTAAAACAAGTGGATCATTATATTAGTATTAAAATATTTCTTGTGGTGTTCTAAAGAAAAAATATTAATTCTAGTGGAATGGGGAATCCATAAAAAGCTTGCTTCAACCCATGAATGAGCTTCACTCTGAGGATGTAGGATGATCACCCCATGAATACACCTCAAACTTTTCTATGTTGTCAATTAGCTCTAGGTGAGAAAAGTCAACACGAGCACCTTTGTCCTTGGCAAGTAGGAAGCACTCTACAAAGTATAACATAGAGAACTGGACCAACTCCTTGACGTAGGCCTCACCACTACCCTTCGGCTCCAAATTTGAGTGTTGCTGACAAAGGTGCACTTCACTGTGCTGCCCCAAAGAATTTCTTGCAAATACTGCCCACAACGTCATCCTCTTCATCAACATTCGGAAATTCCCTTGTGCCTGGCAAATCAGTAATCTTATACCAATCCTCAAAATATAATTTCTCTACTTTCCTATCAATAAAAAAAGCTAAGCCTTTGGCTGCTCACGTTTTATATGCAGCAACATGATATGGATCAGTTGCCCAAAGAACTGAATCTGCACTTTTAAAAATTGCCCAAAGATTATTTTCCAGGAGTATAACTCTGCGTCAGACAACTTCTCAAATTTATGGGTGATGGCCACACGATAATCCGAATAGAGGGAGTACTGATTTGGGAAATGTTGATTTGGAAGAACAAGTACGGACATTGTTAACAGGCCTGCAAAAATAGTAATAATAATATATTAGTAGAAATAATGTACTTCAAGGGACAACAAATTACAGTTATGAATGCAAGTCTTTCACAAACAACTCTTCATAACACTAATTTTACATTCACCAAGGTACAGAAGATGTCAAACATGCTTTCACAGACAACAGACGCCCGTAAGCTACAGTTCACAGACAACACTATAAGTGCAACATAGACCGCAACATGTCGCTCACAAACAACAACAAAGAACAATAAACGATTTTTCACATACATTGAGGAACAGTTACTAAGAACTTCACAGACTATGAGGGACAATACAAGTATACTTTACAGCAACAAACAATTATAAATGCAAGTGGTTCACAAACAACAACTCTTCATTAGAATATTTTCACAGGCAGTGCCGAATGATTGATATATTCTTCACTTACACCGACAAAAGAAGGAAAAGAAAGACGAACATATTTTTTCAACAACCAAGCGTATGTTCCATTCACACTACTAACCGAAATAAGTACCAATTTGTATTTCAAGGATTGACAAACAACTTGCCAATAATTACCTCGAATTAGAAGAACCACTCTTGGAGAGTATGAACTACAAAAGAGGTGACGGTAAGAGGGGATTCAGAGCGGAGGGCTTGTCTTTGTTGAGCAATGCATCAGAGTGAATGGCGATGGACGAAGAAGGCAAAAGGTTGGAGTGGGGTTTTATATATGGTCTACACACTTGTGTACAAACCAATGTACCCATAGTATGTATCGTGCTAGGGATACACTGCAGTGTACCCCTAGCACGTTTCATTTAGTGAAATGTTATGCCTCATTCAATACAATACTTGGATTAGGTTTTAAAGAACCCATTCAAGAGAAGCACCAAAAGCAACTAAGCATCATAGTGAGTGTACTCCTGAGTATTGTTTTAGTGTGGTTGGTTTCTCAGGAACTCTGTGAAGACATTAGTCCTCTGGAGAGATTAAGGCTATCTCATCAAGCCCTGGAAGGGATCTTACAGACATTCAACGTATACATCAACCTCTTGATAAACGCCCTCCCCGGTTCAATGGAAACCGAATCCGTAGAGGGATCCGGACACCGGATCGTCCGAATCGCGGAGACCGAGGCCCAGCAGACGGCGTTGCTAGCCAACGCGGTCTTATTAGCCGACGAACTGATCCCACGCGCCGCCGCGAAACTCTCGCCTTCGAATCACCAGGTCAGTAGAATGGATGACGCCGCCGCTAAGAGATCGTCCTCGGACAGGCGGATTCCGGAGCAGAGGGAGCTGAAGCGGCGGCTCCAGCGGCTGGTGGATCAATTGCGTGACAGCTTCTGCAGACAGCACGCGCTTGAGCTTATTTTCACGGAAGATGGCGCCGTTCGACTGAATGCCGATATGTATCTCAGTTTGAACCAAGGCGGAGAAGAGCCAGAATGGTTCCCATCTCCAATATATCAGGTACGACTATGCACTAACTTTCAATCATCTTGTTGTATTTTTTAAAACAATCATAAGTGTAATTTGATTTTTTATAAAAAAATTGAGTTGTAAAGTAATTTACAAAGTTAAGATTAAGTGAGACAATGTCTCTATAACACTATGTTTGGTTCGAGAAATCTGAATGAGAAAAAGAAAAGAAAATAGAAGAGAGTAATTTTTCATTTTGGTTAGAGAGAAAAAGAAAAAAATGGATGGAAAAAAATGAGAATACTTAATAAACCAAATTTCTTGATGAAAATAAAAGAAAACCATTTTTTCTTTTCCTTTGTAATTCCAAGAACCAAATGTAGTGTAAAGAAGTGAGAAAAGTGCACCGTTTAGCCCCGAAATCTTTGAAAATTGTACGGTTTATCTCTGAACATTAAAAAGTACACCAAATACCCCTGAATTCTTTAGAAATTGTACGGTTTATTCATGCACATTAAAAAGTGCACCAAATACCGATGAATTCTTCGTAAATTGTACGGTTTACCCCTGAACATTTAAATAAAGAAGATATTTTTGGGGAAGGGTATTTTGGAGAATCACAAGGGAATTTTAGGACCAACCATGCCACGTTTTATATTGTACGGCGGTATTTGGTGTACTTTTTAATATTCAGAGGTAAATTGTATAATTTTCGAAGAGTTTGAGGATAAACCGTGCACTTTTTAATGTTGAGGGGTAAATTATACAGTTTTCCAAAGAGTTCGAGGGTAAACAGTACACTTTTCTCGTAAAGAAATAAGAGTTAAACATATCTATACATCTATACATTATTTAAAAAGACATGAATTTTTTCCCGCCCATGCATGACACTCATATATGGAAAGTGTTGACAACATAAATGGTAGTTTAATTATTTTACCTTAATGTTTTCCTTCCATTTTAAGTATGTTTTTATTTTTATTTTTATTTAAATGTTACACCATTTAAGCATTTAAATTAAATTAAATTAAATAGTAGTGAACCATTGGAGAATTGAAGTATGGAAATAAAATACACTGGCATTTAAATATTAAAATAAAATTTAAAAATTACAAATTAATATAGTATGGGCAGGATTAAAATGATTTATTTTAAACAAACTACAAATTATTTATTTATCATTCAAAAATATTATAATTTACAAGCACAAACGCGTAAAAATGGTAAGTTTTCTACAATAGATTAAAAAATAAATATGGTACGGTAAGTAGATGATAACATTTAAATAAAAGAATAAAATAAAACACTACAAATTAATATTAATACTATAATTTAAAAGAATGGAAACGTTTTAAAAATGACAAATGTACTTATTAGAAAATTAGAAAATAAATAGATGTGGTATGGTAAGCAATTAGCACCATTTAAAAACGAAAATAAAATAAATGGTAAGTTTTCAAAAATAAATTAGGTCAGTGAACTAAAATAAAAGAGAAAATAGAATACTCCCTCCGTCCCCAATTTGATTACAAATTGCGGGTTACGGAGTAAAATTTCTTACTTTTTGAAATCATTTTATTTACAAATTGATATATCGATAAGATATAAAAATTACATATTAAACAACTACGTCAAAAGTTCTACAAAACAAGAAGTGATAAGAATATTTTATTTTATCAAATACTTAATGAAATCGCGTAAACAAACAAAAGTTATCGAGAGGAGAGAAAAAAATTGCAATCTATTTAGGGACAGAAAGAGTACATCTAAAAATGATAAGTGTTCTAAAATAAATTAGAAAACAATGTGTTTTGGTAAGTAATTAGTACGATTTAAATACGAAAATAAATTAAAAAACTGCAAAATTAATATTAATGCTATACTTTAAAAACATGATTTTTTTAAAAAGGTAAGTGTTCAAATTAGAAAATTAGAAAATAAATACGGTATTTTATTTTTTAAACACAAAATAAAATAAATGGTAAGTGTTCTAAAAATAATTTAGGTTAGTGTTCTAAATAAATTAGAAAATAAAATAATTATTAAAACGATAAGTATTCTAAAATATATTAGAAAATAAATACGGTACGGTAAGTAAATGATACCATTTAAATAAAAAAAGTAAAATAGAAAACTACAAAATAATACTATCAATTAATACTACAATTTACAAGAATGGTAACGTGTAAAAATGGTAAGTGTTATAAAATAAATTAAAAAATAAATATAGTACAGTAAGCAAATGGTACCATTTAAATGCAAAAATTAAAAAATTATAAATTAATACTATTAATATTATAAGCATGGAAATATGTAACAATGGTATAAGTATTCTAAAATAAATACTGTTAATACTATAATTTACAAGCATGGATATGTGTAAAAATGGTAAGTGATCTAAAATAAAATAGAAAATAAATACCATAGGGTAAGTTAATGGTACCATTTAAATACGAAAATAAAATTAAAAAAAATACAAATTTCAAAATAAATACATTAATATGTTGAATTATTACTTAGATAAGTCAAATTGTTGAATTATTATCAAGAACAATATCTGAAACATATTGAATTATTGTTACGGAAACTGGTATTTAGTCATGAGAAAGTGTATGTTGAAGTTTAAAAAGTAATAAATCGCAATGGCTTGAAGATTCTGATATACAACGAAGTGAATGCTCACACAAATTATACATACGAGTGATGTAGTTTATAAAGAAGTCTTTCGAAATTTGTAAATCATTTTACTTTTGTACTTTAAAATAATGAAATCTCTATATTCCATTATATACCAATTTATATTCCTAAAAATGATCTTAAGTTAGTACCGTAACTATGACCCGTGCAACGCACGGGTGTGATACTAGTTTAAAACTAACAAATGAAAATGTATAGTTAATATATTAATTAACTAGGGTGTTTCCATAATTGATCTTTTATAACAAGTGGGTTTCCATATTCAATCCTCTATTATCAAATATTATCCTCGTAGTCCTTTTTTTATGGGTGCTTTTTCACAAATGGTCTTTTTTTATCTTCTGTCATGTTGGTGTTAATTTAAAAGTTAAAAGTATAATATGACATCAACCATGTGTCGAGTGACGTATTCTGATATTTGTTAGACGGATAACATAAAAATAATGACTAAGATTGTGGGCTAGAATTCTGACGATAGACCACATTTGTAAACTATGGTGTTAGTAGAAAGCGAGTCTAATCACAAATGATGCATCAAGAACGATCTTTGGAATTGTATATGACAAGAAGGATATATTATCATTGTGAAATTACACTTTTAGCCCTCAAATTAACACCAACATGATAGAAGATCAAAAAAGGATTATTTGTGGAAAGATAACTATAAAAGGACTACCGGGATAATATTTGATAACAGAAGACTAAATAGGAAAACTTCCAAGTTATAAAGGATCAATTATACAATTTACTCTTAATTTAATATTATAGTGGTAATGGTTTGTTAAGGATTTTTTATTCTCATTTTTTGAAAATGGGTCGGGAAACATTTGAAAACCCGTTCTCGATTTGGTACAATGTCTGGTGGTATTTTTGAATATATGGCGTCATGACCTTATTCGCCTAAAGATCATCACGAGTTCGAACCCTCACTCTCACCTGGTTTTGAAAAAAAATTAATGTTCACGTGTAATACTGAAGCAAAAATAAATTTTGTTTACAGGTGAGAGACATGTTAGAGTTTAGAACATTTTATGTGCCTACGGCCACAAATTTTAAACATGTGGTCAAGTTGGTTCCTTGACTCCTAGCTCCCATAATTTTTTCTTCACATTTTTCGTCTTGCAATTTCTGATGCCCTTCAACTCGAAATTTTTTTTTTATCTACAATTGCAAACACAAGTTTTTCGTTGAGATAGTTCATTGATATAGTATGAGAGTCTTACTGACACAGTGGTCACGATTTCAATTCAACATCATCATTTGAATCTGTAATCACGAGCTTAATTAGTTCTTGTTGAGTTAATTCTTTGTGAGTTTTTGGTTGAATTAGTTTTTTTTTTCGTTATGTCTGATTCTATTGTTTTCTCTAAAGGAACTGTTTGACAAGTTGACAAGAATTGCAAACATTGCATCGGAAATGTTTGTGGGGAGAGAGAGGTTTGCAACAATGCTATTGGTGAGACTCACTGAGACAGTCATCCTATGGCTTTCCGAAGACCAGACCTTTTGGGAAGAAATTAAGGATGGCCCACGTCCTTTAGGTCCTTTGGGACTTCAACAGGTTTAATTTTCCTCTTTTCTTTTTTGAAGATCTGATTTAATCTAGTCTAATATGATGTGATTTCATTTATAAGTAAAGTAGTTTTTACTGTAAGTTAGGAGATAAGAATCATCCAAAGGGTGGTTCTCTTGATATTAGAATCCCATGTCATCCTATGACATTGACTCTAATTGAGGCCCATATAATTTTTCGATCATAAAATTGATGATTCTTATCTCCTAACTTACAGTAAATCTCATCACCCCGCCCCGACTCGAACCAACATTCTATCATTTACAATTACACCTTCCAAATTTAGTTGACTTTAGAATTTAAAAAAATGATTCCAAGGTGGTTAGGTTAGTGGGTATTTTAATTGCCTCTCTACAAAAAAAAAACACATTGATTAACTATACTATGTCTTTTACCTCACATCACAATATTGTTGCAGTTTTATTTGGACATGGAGTTTGTGATACTGTTTGCATCCCAAGGGAGGTACTTGTCTAGAAACCTACACCAAGTCATCAAAAACATTATAGCCAAAGCTATTGAAGCTGTGGCTGCCACTAACATTGACCCTTATAGGTATTGTTACTTTTATTAATTATCTTCATTCTCCAATTATAACTTTAAAGAGCTTTCTTCTCCTCAATGTCACAAAATGTGTTCTATATATCTCAATATAAATTTTTACACTTCGCCGGCCCGTTTTCTTTTTAAGAAAAGGAATATATGATTTACAATATTTTCACAGCGTGCTTCCCGAGGATGAGTGGTTTGCGGATGTTGCTCAAATAGCAATCAAGATGCTAATGGGAAAAGCCAATTTTGAGAACGTCGAAAGAGAACTACCTGCCGCAATAGGTAGCCCCACAGTTGCATCGGCCAGATCGGCAACATCTCCCATTTCTCATGGAAGCCAATAACAAAAAAAGATGAACTTCATCTTAGGTATTCCTAGACCGTCGAGGAGAGTGATTTAAAAAGAGGTAAATTAAATTTTGATCTTAGATTGATCAATATTGTTTCATGCGGCAACTTGATATGGGATTCATTGCTAGATGAGCATAAATCATATAGTATGTTCAATTTTGGATCAATTTTTTTCAAAATTTGGAATGTGCAAAAGGGGATAAATTGTGAGTAGTTGATTGTTTCAGCTCATTGTAATATGACTATTACTTAATATTGTTATTATTAAAACTATTTAGAGCTTGTTTTCTTCCTCTAGTTTGATGTGATTTTATAAAAATTTTATCTAATCTAGTTGTAATTATATTTAAAACAATTTCCAAATCCTTTAAATAGATACTCAATAGGTTAATGATTAGCACATGATTTGGTGATTCTGGGAAGTCGTAGTCATTAATGGAGCTTGTACAATAGTAATTTAAAAAAGTAGAGTTCTTTTTGCACACGAAGCCACGAAGGTGTATGTCAATAGTCAATCCATCACTTAAAATAATTTTGGAGACATTATAATAAAACACAATGTTAGAGTGTCTCAATAGTTGTTAGTATCCGTGCATCCAAACTTTGCCAAATATCATGATGATAATCATCCATGGGACACAGATGATAATCATTTATGTAAAGTTTGAGTGTACTCATAATAATAACCATTTGGAAGCACGCTAGTATTTTTCTATAAAAAAAATACTCGCATACAATGTCATACTTTCACTGGTCATATTAATTTATTGGTTCAACTTAGAACATAAACAATGACAAAGTACTTCAATGCCATGCCCTGCAGTGCCACTAGTAAATAGGGAAACACTGAGCTGACTTGAGTGGCAAGTTGCGAGCTACCCCACTTTGCAACGCAGGCACACGGCAAAGCTGATGTGTATGGTATTGTATCGTTTTGTTTCGAAATGGAATAATATCGAATGGTTTAGAGTTCATTACGTACCAATATTGAACCGTTTAAATAAAAACAAAAGTAATTCCCAAAATGGTCCTTTGTAATAAAGTTTTTTCCCAAATCAGTTCTCAATAAGTTTTAGTTACCTACGTGGTCTTCTATAATTAAGATTTATTCTCAAGATAATCCTTCGTAAATAATGTTACTCAAATAATGATTAATTGGGAGATATTTTGATATTTTGTTCATCCAAATTTAAGTATGATTGGTATATCCTTATACCCAGCCCGAATCACCGAAAGAGAGAGGTCAAAAGTTGATCAGTCACTTTCCATGATTACAAAATGAGGCAAACTCTTCTATTGAGACGGGTCGAAAGTTGACCGGTCACTTTCCTCAAAAAGTGACCGGTCACATTTTGGACGATAGCCAAAATGTCACTTAATATTACGAAGGATATTCCAGAAGACCAAAGAGACGGGTTGAACTCAAGAAATGACCAGGTAACCTTTGAGGAAAGGTGACCGGTCATGTCACTTTACTTGACTAACATTGGTCCAGTCTCTTAGGCATGGCGAACCACGCCAAAGATCGAGGGACCACCTCGCCGCTCATCCGTCACGAGGCATGCAGTGAAAGAGATGTTTGTCATCTTGCAGGATTGATTGGATTGAGAATATCCATCTTTAGTCTTTGATTGAACAGTGTTTTGGCTTGTAGCTACTAAATTCATTGATTGAATAGTGATTTGATTATGTACAGTGATCTTCCTTCGGGCTTCCTATTTTGTCCATGGATAATCAGGGGAAGGTCACAAATCCTTCTCTATAAATATGATGATTGTGGTCTGTGGATAGAGGAGGGGACCCAAGTTTTATTTCACTAAAAGGTACACTTTTGAGATAGAGTAAGAAATATAATTCGGACTGAGAAGATTTACCCAGTCTAGGTCATACTTTGTGTTCTTGTTGTATGTATTATATTACGGGTTGAGTGTGTCCAGGTCAAAACCGGTCAACCCACCCATCTATATTTACACCATCAAAGTATATTATCAAAACAGTCATTTCTATCCAACTAAATGTAAAATTTAAAAAATACATTGACTATAAATAATTCATGAATTATTTAAAACTTATTTTAAAAAATTTAAATTTTCAAATCAAATACACATATTTAATTAGAAAAAATCATTTAGGGACTGCACTTCATTATAAATGATCATTTTAAGAATTAATTCTAAATTTAGCGGATAAAAAATACCAAAATACTCCTAATTAATCATTATTTGAGTAACATTATTTACGAAGGAATATCTTGGGAATAAACTCAATTATAGTGGACCAAATAAATAATTAAAATTTATTAAGGACTGATTTGAAAAACACCTTATTAAAAAGGACTATTTTAGGAATTTACTCTAAAAACAATCATTGATAGGTTTCAGTCGTATCACGGACCGCGCGCATCCCTAATTATAACTCTTATTTTGAGAGAAATTTCATGCTTTAACTTTTAGCTATTTCTCACGTTGATACCTAATCTTTATTTTCTATCACAAAGACACCTGAAAAGAATTTACTCTTAATATGAGTAAAACATTGAGAAAATATCAAAATAAGAGCTCCATGTTTTTATCTATCTCCAAATTAGGAGTTCGCATTGTGGTAATTTGGCACTGTAAATAGACATTTCACAATACTTTTTGATAATATATGGTCATCATTGACACTTTAAATGCATTTTAGCTCATATTTTAGAAATAAAAACATGAAACTACTATTTTAGCATGTTTTCAATATTTTACTCATACTTTACTAAGAAATCACTCTAATTAAAAGTAAATATAGAGAAAAAGTATTAAGATAAGAATTCTATGTTTTTATTCCTTAAATAGGAGTTTACATTGTGGTAATGTGACACTCTACATATGTATGTTATTATACTTTTTGGTAATGTACATGGTCATGATTGGTAACGTAAATACATTGTAAATCTTATTTTGGGAATGAAAACATGAAAATTTTTATTTTGATATATTTTTAATGTTTTACTCTTATTTTAATATTTTTCCCTGCTTTAGTCCCATTTCTGAAATTTGGAAACCCTTTCACAAAGGACATGTGAAGCCAGTTCCTCATTTGGGCCAAAAATAAACTTTTATATTTCTTTGTGTAAATTTCCAAAATAATCCCCTCTAATAAGATGTTTACCGAAATCAATTCCAATAAGTTTTAATTACCTACATGATCCTCTATAATTGAGATTTATTCTCTAGATAATCCTTCGTAAATAATGTTACTCAAGTCATAATTAATTGAGGATATTTTATATTAATTTTAAATTTTTGTTTATATGTTTTTTATAGTTCATTTCTAATGAAGTGTTTCCTGAAATAGTTTTTCATAAATAATATTACTCAAACGATCATTAATTAAATTTTTGTTTTAATTTTACATTTAACTATTTAGAAATAACCATTTTTGAGAATATACTATAAATTTATACTCCGTATAATAGAAATACCAAAATATCATTTAATTAATAATCGTTTGAGTAATATTATTTATGAAAGACTACCTAAGTAATAAATCTCAATTATAAAGGACCACATAGATAATTACATTTTATTGAGGACTAAATAGAAAAATAATTTATTACAAAGGATCATTTTAAAAATTTATTATAATCTTTATACTATTCAATTTGACTTTCATTTCTTTCCTTCTTCTCCCCCTCCAACTCTCTTGTTTTTCTTCTTCTTTGAGCCCTTTTTTTCTTGGCAAAATCTATGGTGGACATAAGGTACACCATGTACCTACATATGAGCAAAATAAGCATATCTTTATTATTTAAATAAATAATTTTTTTTAAAAAAATAAAAATATATTTAAATGTGAGAATTCTATAAAAATTAGTATGCACTCAAGGTGCATCAAAGAAACAGTTTTTTTCTCACTTTCACCCCCCTTTTTTCTTCCTCTTCATCAAAGCCTCCCCTCACTCCCACCTACCTCCCTTCTTGTTGTTTTTCAACCCCAACCCCACTCCCCACGTTTTCTTTTTTTACTCATCTGCCCCTAAATGATTGTCACATTTTGATTTTTTTGTCAATTTAATAAAAATGGGATTATTTTAGGTATAATGTAAATTTAGTAAAAATGAGATTATTTTAGTATATAGTTTTAAAATCTCAAATTCTTATAATATTTAATCATTGTAAAATATATTTAATTTATGGTTAAACGATGCAATAGTTTGACTTTGGTCAAACTGTGTCAATATTTTAGGAACAGAGAGAGTATTTATTTTGAGCTTATTGTGTTTATTTTTTTTATTAAGTTTAATTTTTTACAAAAACAAAAAATAAGACAACAGAAAATATCAAACATATAAAACATAAACTCAAAAAAAGACGTGTTAACAAAAAACAAAAAAGCTTCACAAAAAAGTTATCCTAAACAAACAAACAATTAATACTAAAATACCGAGAAAAAAGATATGGCAAACAAAATCGAAAACAAAAAAAACGAAAACACAAACAAACATTTCTATTTTATCTCTAATCTACAATAATTTTAATATACTTTTTAAGGATAAATTTCAATAATACATTTCTATTTTATCTCTAATCCACTTTTTTATTACTTTTTTAATAAGAAAAGGAGATTTAAAATTTTATAATATGTGCATTTTTGGAAATTTGGCATTTTTTATTACTCCTTAATAAACATGTCAAGTCAACCCGGAAAGAATATTCCCGGACAGAGGGAGTAATTAAATTTTGACCCAAATAACTTGTCATTAGCGTGTGACATTTTATTTAATACTTATCATCGTGTATAGCCGTGATACAAACTACTCCGTCTATATAGTTAGATCTGCTTGTGGTGTAAGTCAGGTGCTAAATTCACGAACAAAATATGTTCCTGAATTGTTTCTATGCGCTACACAGATAAGTTTTACTCCCTCTGTCCCCAAATTTATTGCAATTTTTTTCTCTATTTTTGATAACTTTTGTTTATTTACGCAATTTCATTAAGCATTTGATAAATTAAAATATTCTTATCACCTCTTGTTTTGTGGAACTTTTGATGTAGTTTTTTTAATATGTAATTTTTATTTCTTATTGATATACCGATTTGTAAAAAAATGACTTAAACTTTTTTATTACCTAAATAATACTTAATAATGTCTACTGGAAGGAATAATGTCCATTGAATAATTACTAATGGTCTTACTTTAAGAAATAAAAACATATGATTCTATATAGAAATGTCATTAGGTTTTAGTTCTATTTAAGTAAATTTCTCAAATTATAATCAAATTAGGGACAAAAGGACTAGGGAGCATCTAATTTTCTTTGTTGCACATCATGTATGATCCTAAAAATATTGATAATAGGGTGAATTATTTGTCTATGTAAACCATACCAAACTTTAAAGGCATCATTGATTGATCTCCCTTTGATGTATGTGAAGAAGACATGTGAACAAACAATTTCTAGGAAGGAAGAAATGTTGGAGCAAAACTCTATAGGTCTTGTCACAAAAAGATTCCAAGAAGAAACAAATTATGAAAAAAAACTTAGAGAAAAATGATGTAAATCATGAAAAAAAATTCAAAAGGAAAACCAAACTTTATTATGGGACAGGAAAAAATATATGAAACCTTTCTTTCAAATTGAAGGAATATTTTTGAACAAAAAGAGTATAAAACTTACTTGGCCTTTTTTAATTTTCTTTTTGTTATTCGCATGATCAAATTATATTTCTTTATTTCAATATTTTTATTGACCATTTGACAATTATTTTTTTACTTTGTAGAACTTTTGTTACAATTTTGATAAATGTATAAATTTTATTTTTTAATTCCATATCAATTTTTACAAAATTCAAATTAAAAACTAATTGAATCAAACTTTGTAATCCAAACGAGAATATTATTTAGGGAAAACCCAAATATTGTTCAAAAAAATCCATCTCAATAAATCTAAAACATGAAGATTACCAAAGTCACCACCCATCCTGCTTCCTCCATCCTATTAAAAAATTTATGATTATTCAATAATGCTATTATTTTTTTAGTGATGCATAACCAATGAAAATTATCAAATATTGTTCCATTCTCAAATTAATTTGTTTGACATACTTTTTATACTCTGTATTTAAAAAGAAAACACTTTTTCTTTCCACTTTTTAGAACCAAATACGTTGAGAAAGAAAGAATCTTTTAAAATATGCATTGAGAAAGAAAGGATCTTGTAAAGCATGTTGAGAAAGAAAGGATCTTTTAAAAATATGTTGGTAAAGAAAGGATCTTCTAAAATATTTTGAGAAAGAAAGAATCATTTTATCAAAGTACAATTGAATTGAACCCATCATTCTCAAACCCTAAATTATGCCAAGATTGTGAAGTCATTGGAACCCCAGAACAAATATTCTTTATAGACAATAAAAAATCTACGCCATATTTTCTAACACCAATGTCAAACACTTATGACTTTAAAAAAAATCAAAAATCACTTCCGCGCCTTAATTTGTAAAATGTGTTTCATTCCAGCAAAGAGGTTTTGCAATCCCAAATTAGACCTTAACTAAAGAGATTGATCTATGAAACAATGAATTGAACAATGAAATCTCAGGTTCAGTCTTACTATGCTCAGCTCCAGTTCAGTTCCACATTGCTATTTCCTTCTCTGACGACTGCTTCGGCATTTCTGATACTTCAAAAGTTTTGGCGATAACAAAAGTTTGCAGACCGAAAAAAAAAATGATCTTTTATGTGCAATGATCCATGGAGTTTTGCACGATTCGTGCACCTATTCAAACAGATCTTGATTCAATCCGAGTTGCTGATAATTCGCGTAATCGATCTCATTTAAACGTACACAACACAACATATTCTCGGGCAATTCTTCAGATTTGTTGCCCTGGTTGATCGATTAGAGAAAAAGAAGATAGAAAAAAAACAACAAATTTTATTAGTGTCATCAAATAATGAAAGTGATGAAGAAACTTTCTATGGCTAATTTTAACTTGCCTGAATTGTGAGGCCAAAATCTAAATTGAAGTGCTTTAATCTATCCAAGAATGCTTCAAACCCCTTCCTGGAAATGTAACTGAATCTGTGCATATCTAAATCAATCTCAAGATAATTTTCTCCCTGCAAAATAATCAGACAGGTAGCTGTATAAAAAAAAAACTTGTTCTTTGGATATGGACCATTGGTTCTTCACAGACAGAACTTGGATTTGGCCTACCATGTAAAACTCGTGTTGAGGACGCGAAAGCACGGGTTTTTCATTGTATGCATGCATAAGCTTCCTCTCTGCTGCACTCAGTGGCAGATCATCCACGTTTGCTACACGGCCTAAAATCTTCAACCTTTCCCTGAAAGGTACTATACTGTCCATAGGAAACCCCTTCACCTTCTCCACTTCATCCTCAATTAGTCTCTGTTTATTTGATGCAAAAAAGTAAATAAGAACACAGCTAGGAAAGATGAAGATCACCAATAAACTCATTGTACTAACCGTGAAAATAGTCATGTTTCTCAAAGGTACACACTCAGATTGTTTAGGACACTTACTTTTTAAGCAAAACATTAAATATGATGAAAATTACCTTCTTTGTTCAAATACAACACTTTGTTGGGACAAAAATAAGTTTTCAAATAGGACTCTTTTTGGGGATGGAGGGAGCAGTATAGAACATAATTGGAAGTAATGGCAGCTCAAACTTACTCTTATGCTCTCTTGAAAATGAGATGGAAGCTGTTTTGTATAACTTTCTGAAAGCTTAAAGTACAAGACAAAATTTATTCCTTCCCCATCAGTTTCGCTCTGAAAGATTGTGGCCGGATACAATGGTATCTACAATACGGAAATTGCATGTTATCGGCATACAGTCTTAGAGTAGGTAAAGAAAGGATAAAGTTCAAATGGCAAAATGAAGTTTAACCATGCTGCAACCGTAACAGAAGCAAATAATGAATAAAAGGTTTATAGTGACAGCCATAAATATAAAAAAATAAATTACACTCCATACCTGACAATTCACCACAAGTATTTGTGGAAGCCTCCCTGAAGATTCAGTAATAGGAAGCTCCACAAGCCTAGCAATGTGCTCTATTTTTCTCTGAGACAAAAATACATCAACTCCAAAAGGGTAATATGCCGCATGGTTTGAAGCAAATTCCTTCTTCTTATCTCTGCCAAAGAATAACACAAACCAAAAGAGAAAGAAGGATTGCTTAAGTTAGAATATGAGAAGGATAACTAAATTTGCAAATGTACAATCTGAAGGAATGACGCAATGAGTATGGAATCACTTACTTCAAGTAGTTCTCTCCGCGAACCCTAAATGTCCCGGCTTCAATATGAGACCAACTGTTTGGCATTTTCTTCTCTATGGGACAGAATGGAACTTGGGAACCAGCAATTGGTCTTAGTAGAAGCGACTTGGATGACACTGCAATAGATAAGAAATCAGTGTCTTGCTTTTGTTCTAATATAGTCTTCATCAACATATGCATTCAGGTATGGAAAATCATTTTGCAGTACGAATGTCAGTATGAAACAGAGATTACTGATAAAATGGCAGACTTATCAGCCATCACCAATGAGTTCAGGAATTCGGTATCATGGGAATTTCTCCTTAAGAGGAGTGCACCCTTAAGCAGCATAGGACTCAGTGAGTCGTTGATGTACAGGGGAAAAAAGTTTGAACTGGTCAGCTGGTGCGATAAGATTAAAAGGAACAAAGTGTGGATCGATAGACTCACGTAATGTGGAATGAGGATGTCCTTCTTTCCATTTGAAAGACAGCTTTAAAGCAGCTTTCTTCCTAGCACTTGGGGGAGGACTGGAGTCGGTGGATCTTCTCTTCTCAACAGGAACAACAGCAGTGGCAAGACATGGAAGACAGTTATGGGTAAGGATCCCACAATCATCAAACAAGCCATTGCTCCTGCTACAACTTTCATTTGTGCAGGGAGAGATTTCATAATCAGCATCTTTTGGATGCATTGAGCTGTGTGGATGGGTGTTAGTTTTGGCATTTCCACTGACAGAACTACGAGCAGAATGGCTAGTCGATGAATTCCCGTGCCTATGTGCATGCTCAGCTTCAGACCCATTAAGAGAGTGAACATCTGAAGAAAGTAACATCAAAAAATGAGTCCTCGTCAACAAAAAAATTGTAGTCCTCATCACTGAGAACTAGTGCAACAGAAATGCATACCATCAGTCACACTCTGAAATTCCTCATCGCTGCATTCAGATTCAAGCATGGTAGCAGAATCATACCATGCTTCCTCAATGCTTCCTGTTGGCACCATTATATGATAAATCTTAATCCGGATAACAAAGATATTCAATGATTCAAATGTGTTCAACCCATAGCACAACCCTAATGCAATCATGAATGTATCAGACTATAGAGAAGGACAGATGTGACGAATTGAACCAGAGAATAATGGATCACTGAGAAGGATGATCGAGTAATCTCTCATGGGTTTTCAAAATTACTTAATACTATATCACCTAATCTCCACTTTCTGACTAGAAAACCAAACGAGTATGGTAAGTGTGTAAGAATCAAGAATATATGCTTGATCAGTTTCAATAAGCCAGGACTTTATTCGTTAGAGATGTGAATGAAAAATTAACTTGGGTATGTTGCCGTGATTATTTTGAACTACATTACCTTATAAACACCATAACACGATTGTGCTAATAAATAATAATGCTTATGTTGGTTTTTAAGCTACCACAGTTAAACGGCCTAGCACTGCACGAACTCAATGACATCTTCTATTAAAAAGAATATGATACGAAGTCCCTTATTGTCACTCTCTGTCAATAAATGACCAATCTTTAGCAACGTGCAAAAGCTCAACAGCATCAATGTCAGCATAAACCATTACTCACTTCCACACAAAAAAAGTCATGTTTGTAATATTGTTTTAGGCATTATAAAAAAATCATCTTTTTTTGGGAAGAAAGGTAGTACTAATGTATTATATACTCTTCATACACAAATTGCCATAGCTCAAGAGCTAGTATACTAAACCAATTCATTGACTTCACGCCTTTTTGTATCCAGAAAAGAATATGTGCAAAAGTTCATAAAATCACCTCATATATGATCTTACAAACTGGAATCAAATTGTGACAATGATATATGAACATTATGGGTCAAGCGGGCATCATAGTTTTGGATAAATTCTTTTAAGGTGCAGATACTTTTAACACCAAACGGATGCCATATGCCTATATCTAGACAAAAAACACAATTCTTTGAACTACAACCCACAGTTCTGAAAAGCCTAACCACCCCACCCTTCAAGAATTCAGCTTAATCCCCATTCAAGGTGTTCTAACTTCTAAGTAAAACCACCCCAAATGGTTTGCCTAGTGCGCGGTTTACCTGTCTTTAGAGTAAAAAATGCAGCTTTCAAGCTTTCATGTTTCCAATTCATTCCGGCAAAACGAACCATTAGCTCAATTGAACCAGTCCAATGAAGAAAAACCCCAACCCCAATCCCAACCCCCAAATGGATTAATCTAACTCCATTCCATAAGATCAACCAGCTCAAATGGCTACTTCACTTCTATAGTCTACCAACACTGTAAGAAGAACATCAAATCAATGAATGAAACACGAACCACTTAAATTAGGGTTGTTGTGGGACCGACCCATCGGAGAAGCCTTGTCAGCTCTATCAGACGGCTGATCAGGAAAACGGGAAGTGGCCGGCGGTCTCTTGCCGGCGGCTTTCTTCCTCCTCCGGCTCTTCATCCTTCTGTCGCGGCAGGCATTCGGAACCGACACACATCCCCCCATCTCTAAAACCCCAACGCCAAATCAATCAAATTTCAGATGGATAAATTATTGAATAAATCCCGCCCCCAAAACTGGAAATATAATAAGTACGAAATCAGGTGAGAAGGGCGATCACGACTCCATCATCAGTAAGAACAAAAACTGAAAATCTGATCTTGAAATCGAGGAAACGTGGAAGAGAGGAGAAACCCATTTCTAGAACTTCATCCTTTGTTCACTGAATCACTGTGCTCCTCTCTCTCCCCCCTCTCTCCCCCTCTCCCTCCCTCTCTCCCTCTCTCTCTCTGTATAAATAAATGTGAAAAACTTATGTGAGCACACACACCGTAAATCACACGCTCGCAGCAAAAAATTGAGACTTTTCAAGATTTCTTTTTTTTTGGGGGGGGGAGGAAGAATTTGAGGTTTTGTTTGGGAAAAGCAACCCCACAAAAGAAACCATTTTTGACATGAAAGATGATAAATTCTACCTTAGGTAGATGAGTTTGATAAGGACTCCGTATTTACATAATGTAGGTAGAAAGGTTTTTGTTTTTATTTAAAAAATATTTTGCAAAACATTAGGTAAACATAATGTAGGTAGAAAGGTTTTTGTTTTTATTTAAAAAATATTTTGCAAAACATTAGGTAAAGATCTTGTAGTCCAATGATATCGTTATAGTTCTTCCAAATGAGATTCGATCTTCAGTGCGGACAGTAATTCTATGAACTTTATTAGTTTGAAATTTCTGTATAAATAGATACTACATTGTAATATAGGCATTCAAAAAAATTGTAAAAAATTAAATTTTTATTAGAAGATCCACTTAATTTTTTTGGACTTTAGATACACTAAAGAAACATTCTCTGAAATGGTGTTCCTGAAGACTATAGTCTAAGTTTCACATTTAAAATATAAATCTTTTCACATTTTTTATAGATTGATAAGTAAATGTTTTTTTACAAAAGACTCAATTCTTTCATGGTGTTTATATATTAAAATTCATGAAATGAGAATATATTCCTTTGGGTTAGAATTTCAGAGTTAGACGCTGGAAAAAATTTGAAAAAGTTGGAAAAAATAGAAGAAGTTGGAAAATATTAGAAAAATTAAAGTGTTAAAAAAGTACGCAATTAATGATTACACAAATAAATATATAAGAAAACTCTAATTTAGATATAAAAAAAAGAATTCATATTTATCTGTGTTTGAAGTGATATGAAATAAATTTGAATATATAATATTATTGTATATTCATCATATATAAATACTATTTTAAGTCGTAGAAAAAACTATTAAAAAAAGCTTAAAGTTAATTTTTTCAAATTCAACAAAGCATTACCTAAACGTGTATCCAAAGGTCATATATGAATTTGTCTTCTCTAAAGTATTCGGAGTACTCTCTTTTTTTCTTATTTGAGTTATTATAAAATACGGAAAACTTGATTTTTTTTATTTCCTTTTAAAATAAAGCACATGGTTAAATTTTAACTATAATATTATTTTCTCAAACTATAGATATGTTTGTCCTAAAAAAAGTTTTTCAAATATTTCAATTCCTTTTTGGTTATCTTTAAAAGAAAGTTTTTTTTCCCTTTTAATCCATCCTAATACGACTTTTTCACAATCCTGAAATTGGGGTCCCATATTTTTATTTACTGCATCCGTCCCCAAATAGATTATAATTTTTTTCTCTCTTCTCGATAACTTTTGTTTATTTACGCAATTTCATTAAGTATTTGATAAAATAAAATATTTTTATCACTTCTTATTTTGTAAAACTTTTGACGTGGTTTTTTAATATGTAATTTCTATTTATTAGCGATTAAATAAAATGATTTCAGAAAAGTGAAATATTTCTCCTTAGAATTTGATTGCGGAAATTGACATTTTTCTTGGCAATCTTATGGAGTGAATGTACTTCTTTGGACTTTGTATTTAGACTATGTGTTATGAGGCGTGAAGAGAGGCTTCAATGTTTTACCATCTTTTGTCACGCCTCTTTTCATTAACACCAATTCTCTGATTGGGTGTTGCCCCTCTTCCGGTGGTAGCCCTCGCGGACGTTGTCCCTCTTCCTCTTTTTTTAAATATATATTTTAATCAAATAAATTTTTACATATATTCACCTTTCATCATATTCATTCACACTTGCCATAAAACACATTTTTTTCATCATTATACATCATGCATCTTTACATTCCGTCAAACCTATCATAATTCATAACACATGACTTTATAAAGATATTTTTTAATTAGTTTTAAAATCATTATATTATTTTTTATTTACTTAATAATATAAAAAATATGTGACTCATAATGTTTGTTTTTCTTATAAATAAATTTTAATTTATATTTATTTTTGATATTTTTTAAAAAAGAAATGTTCCTAGATAGGAGTAAAAAAGTTTGAAAATACCAAAATAGGAGTCCTATGTCCTTTACGACCAAAATAGAAGTATAATGACAGTGGGGTATAAGAATAATGAAAGCGTAATATATCATTGTGATCAGTCAACTGTCTGTGATCTACAACGGCACTCTGGTGGCTGGGCGACGAATGACAATGCGACGTTAATAATGTGACAGTTACAATATAGTGATTGTGGCAGTGTGACAATGACAGTGTCAACTCATATTTTGATCTTAAATATTTATGACTTTTATTTTAATATGGAGTATTTTCATAATTTTTTGCTCTTATCTAGGGAGTTCTCCCAAAAAAATTGTGAAATCAAACTTGAACGACAATTTCGAGTATGGGTGACCCGGAGGGTGTGCAAAGTAGCCAATAGCATATGGCCTTTTAAAATTTTAGGGCCTTATATTTTTAAATTTTACATCAATTTTAAGGAATAAATATTTTTAAAAAATAAAACATGGTTCAAAATGTAAATTTAGAACCAAACTAATTTTAATTTTTCAGTTTTTGTGGCCAGCCCCTGATTTAGGGGGGGGGGAGGAATTATTATATAATTAAAACTTAAAAAAAATGTACCACGTCTGTGGCATTGATGGTTAGTCATACCGCTTTTAATCGTGCTTTCCGGGTATAAAGTCAAAGATGGACATCCACATCATAATATAATTGCTTCCATCATTGAAATTGGGAAACCGTGTCTCTTTTCCAATCTTTATTTTCATACATACTGTACAAAAATTCTGAATCGAAAACGACGAAAATGCTATCCAATAGTGATTTTTTTAATTTTGACCATTTCAAAATTAATTTGTATCAATTAAAATAATTCAAAATATTAAGGTCCTGTTTGGTGCACGGAATTCAAAATATAGAATTGGAATTGAGGCTTTCCATTCCAATTCTCGGGTTTGGTAGCACAAAAAATATGTGGATTTGAAATTGTTAGTGCAAAAAATGAATTGGAATTGGTGAATTCAATTCTATGGAATTGAATCTCATGGAATTTTAATTCAAATTCAATTCTAATTCCATCAATTCCGTGTAACAAACGGACCCTAAGTCTAATTGAAATAATTTCCTTAAAAACAAAGCCCGTGTTTCATGCAACTAAATCAATTTAGATTGCCGAAGATCTTATCATCCTTTTGATGACATAAGTGTGGTTCTCTCCAAAGAAAAATTATAGCTATAAACTTATATATATATATATATATATATATATATATATATATATATATATTACACTGTACTAAAATTAATAAATTCAATTTAAAATATAACAAGATTTTTTATGAGGATCAACGATGTTTTTTGATACTACAGATTACTCTGTATATTTTAAAATACTCCAACAAGTAAAATCCTACAAGTCCAATATTGTTGAGTGGTGCTAGGGAACCTCAAGGCTCAAGCATTTAACACTAAGGTTATGTGTTATGGTGGCGTGAGGAGGGCTTGACCTCCTCCTTCACGCCCCAATTCATGTGATAGTCATTATTCCGTGATGAGCTTTTATCCCTTCATGAAGAAAGGAATAATTAATTATATTCCAATGTATAACAATGATTTAAAACTAGGGTATGAATACAAGGAGAAGATGGCTCTAGAGTATTACCATAATTAAGACCTGATGTACATGGTAACAACCTTAACTATGATAGAGTAAATATGGTACATACATACATACATACATACATACATACATACATACATACATACATACATACATACATACATACATACATATATATATATCCTTTCCTTTAATATAATATTTGAGACTCCATTTGTTAGAAAAGCGCCATGTGTCAAGCCTATGTGGCTATATTAAGGTGAGATGACAGATCTTTATTGGTTGCTTATGTGGCAAGTTATATTAATGGTGAATTGAAATTCCTTTTTTATATTAAAAATAAAATTTAACAATGATAAACTTATGTTTAAAATTATTCTCAAATTATATTTATATATATATACACACACACACACACATATCCTTTACTGTAATATTTGAGACTCATGTATCCAGAAGTTGACATGTGTCATCTTACATCGTAATTTTTAAATGACATGTTTTAAATGCTCATTCATCATTTAGAGAAATTTATTTATGATAACCTTTAAAATACGATGACTTTAAAATAATAAACTTTATATTGAAAAATTATGGAGTTTTGAATTTATTGAAAATTATGTAATGAACTAAGTATAATTTTTCAACGAAATTAAATAAATAAATCATAAAAAGAAACTAAATATGAAATAAGTAGTGTGTGTGCGTGTGTATGTGTGTGTGTGTGTATGGAATATGTTCAAAATAGTCTCAAATTTTAACAAATTTTTACGTAAAAAAGTTTAGGGCAAATAAGGAATTCATTATTTCCTGCCATCGGTTGAGTATTTATGTTTTTTACTTTTAGAAAGCAATTCATTTATTTATTTGTTATGGTATAATAAAAATAATTGAGTTATAGAATCAAATTTGGAAAAGATAAATATCGTATTGTCCGAAATAAAATTATGAAAGGACAAAATTAAAGAGTAATTTACCTAAATAGGGCTAAAATATAATGACTTTCTCAATATAGGACCATGTGTTTTTTTTTCCAAAGTAGGATCATTGGTCATTATTTACTAGTCATTATTCAACTAAATGTCCAGCATCATTTGAACATTATTTTTCCCACTAGTCATTATTAAGTCCTATTTAGAAAATAAAAAGTTCAATTCCTACATTGGGAATAGACTTATGTTTTAGTGTTATTCAGTGCAAATTTCACAAAATTAAATAGCATATAATTATTATATGATAAACTTATTATGTTGTAGCAAAAAATTAGAGAAAAATAAAATTAGAATTATCACTGGCCATTTTCTAGACTAGCATTTTTTATGAATCAAAATCTTAATTAAGTGCATTCTAAAAAAATTGATAGTGATCTATTTTTCGTTTAAAAGTATTCTCATACGAAAGGATCAAATATGTTTATAATTGGTCCTTTATACTCCATATATATAATTGAGATTTTAATCCTAAAAAGCTGATTTGACACATAAATTATAATATGAAAAGTAAGACATTAATAGTATGGTATGAAGTAATTCAGTTCAATTAATTATGGAAAAGATTAAAGATCTTCAATTTTATAATAAGTTATTTCCTAGTTGTGCATATTTTTCTATTCAATTATAACAAGACTTCGAAATAATTAATAAGATACATCTTCACTTCTAAATAAAATTTCATATTCTTATGATATATTTAAATTGAAGTAGTCAGTTTTGATCTTATTTATTTAAATATTGATGCAAGTTAATAAACAAAAAACTTATTTTAAAACTACGATAAAACTTTATAAAACATGAGATGATTAGACTATAAATGGTTAAAACAAGTAAGATATACTAGATATTATTTAGTAATTTGATTATATTAATTTTATGGCTTATTTAATATAATTTCTAGAAAACTTATGATTAATATTTATTAGATGATTTATGATTTCATTTACAAATATATATTTTTTGTTATGATATTTTTAAGGGTTAAATATGTTTTTAGCCCCTTAAAAGTGGGTAAATTTTGTTTTTGGTTCCTGCAAATTAAATTTTGTTTAAATCATCCTTAAAAAAATTTGTTTTGATGATGATCCTTATACGTGATTAAGAATTTTAATTTGTTGACATATCACATTTATTTCATACTCAATAGCTTAGTTTAGATTTCCAATTAATTCAAACACAATTTTGATGCCAATAATTGTGTCCTTAATCAAATTGCAGTTTTATTTCTCAAATTTGTATTATATTATAATCGTAAGAAATTTGAGAACTGGACATATGTAATATGAATAAGCACACAATTTAGGGGTTGAAATGATTAAAAACACAAGACTAAGATGTTGGGTATGAAATAAATGTACTATCTCATCTAATTAAAAGTGATAATTACGTTTAAGGACTATTTTAAAAATAAAATACTTTGTAGGGATGACTTTAACAATAAATATTTTACGGGGACTAAAAACAAAGTTTCCTATTTTATAGGGTATAAAAAGATATTGAACCTTATATTTAAATATTTTATAAAATGCAAATGATCAAAATAAAATAAATCTTTGTGACTTATCATATTACACTAAGATAGGAGTATTTTTTATTTTACTATTATTGAGTTCATTATATTTAATTAAGGAAGAGAGATATTTATTTTCATTAAAATATTGTTTTCAGTTTTTACTTTTCATTTCATCTATAATAATACTTTCAATGAATATATAAACAACTCTCTTCAGCTCTAAACAAATTTCATATTTGTTTATGACATGATTAAGCGAAGTTAGTTTTATTCTATTTTTTTAAATATTGATGTAAAATAAAAAATAATAATTTTTAATCCATATATTAAAGTTCTATAAAATAAGAGATGGCTAGATTATTTTTTAAATGAACAAGTGTTTAAATCCAATTATTTATAACGAATATTTAATTTGACTTTTGCACTTTATCTTGCTAATTTAACTTATTATTTTAATCAAAGTTTGCATTGTAACTTACCATATTTATAAAAATGTAACTTAGCATTTATAAAGTTATATTTGGGTGATAAATCACTATATTTATGCATGAAAATAAAAAATGAAGAAGTATGACTCAATTTTCTTTTTTTTCTTTTTCATAACAAATTGATATTCTTAGAGATGAAGAGATATAACTTGAACTTTCATGAAGAAGATTTCTATAATAAAAATTAAGGTGTGGAGGCTGGGAAATGCGTGAAGATTTGTGATAATTAAAATATAGGTGCAATGACAATCAATAATTTAAGGAGAATTTTGGAGAAGATCTAATCCGCAAAAGTGAATAAGATCTAGGCTGAGCTACAACATCAATGAAAAATATAATTTTCAATTTGCAACTCTTTGTGTTTTTACAAAACATTATGTATTGGCAAGAGTACTTTCACGGGCTTAAGTGATTTTATACTTAAAAAAGAAATTGAAAAAATGAGTTAAAATTGTGATTTTTTTAAATTTTTATTTCAAATTATAGGATCACTAATGCTTTTTTTTTTCCGTTGAAATAATTTTTGAAATAATATGGGGGCTAATAATCATTTTATTTTCAATGTATTATAAAATTTATATTTCTTATCACAAGATTGCTAATTTATGTTTTCATACTTTTAATGATGTGGGAGAAAATAGTTAATTTTTGATCAATGCAAAGGATCGAGGAGAGGAAGAATCATATTAATGCATAAGAGAAGAATCATATTTTTTCATTATTGTAAATTAATGTGGCAGAGAAGAATCATAATTTTTTTAATCGTAAAATTATAGAATAAAAAATCTAAGCTTTTTAAATAAGCGCGAGGCCGGCGAGGGAGAAGAATAATACAATCACTAATATTTTTGTAGTATATTTTTTGGATTAAGGGGTGAAAGAAATTATATATTTTTAGAAATTTTATAAACTTAGATCATTCATATATATGAAATTTAAATGGTATATAACATAGAATTATCAAGTCATTTTAATATTTGATATTGTAAAATCAAAAATAATTTTATGCAACCCATACATGGCACGGGTTAAAATATTAATTTTAAAATACTTATGACTTCTATTTTAATATTTTTATATTTTTTTAGTGATTTTTTTAATTTTTTAGCACTATCCAAATCAAAATAATTTTGATCCGTAAGGGACTGTTGACAAATGCAATACCCTAATTTCGGTCGCCTGACTCAATGCGAACCAGCATTCCAGCCTCAGACCCCAATCCCCACCGGATTCACCGCTCGACACTTCCTCCGTCTTCCGCAATCCAGTCTCAGCCACCCGCCGCCGCCGCCTAGGGTTTTATCCCGCTTCTCTACCCACTAATCACGAGTGCAGGACGTCTCCGCCTCTCCGTTCTCGTGTCCGTCGCTCGGCATCAACTTCATCTCTCGCCTCCGCCCTCGGGTATGTAAATAGCTTCATACTCTATCACACTTTCTCTTCTTCGAGGAATGGCATTTTGATTTCACCCAAAACTTGATAAGGCTGATTATTTGAATGAAAATAATGGTTAAAAAGGATGTTTTGGTGAAGTGGTAAACTGATCACAGATTCATGTCTCTGGTCATACGGATTTGATACCCCCAATAAGGAAAAATAATAATAACACTCTGTAATAACTCCACCAATCAGGAGCTTGGGTGTCCATTGTTTTCCTTGATGAGATCTTCAAATTCATTGCATCGTAGCAAAAAAGATATTGTGTGTATATATGTACTTGGTGGAAGCTACTTTGAATTTGCCCAGTGTCTCATGGACAAAATAGTGCTGGGTTTGCACGCATGCTCATAATGCTGGAAATGTTCATAATTCTGCCCTTGTTTGTATCTATTCTTCAGTGTGATGGAGTGCTTGTAATGTAAAATGATTAGTAATCAGCACACCTATGCTCTTAAAACCCTTACTCTTTTTTTACTATCATCTCCTTTCTCCTCTGCGCAACGAAAACACCTGACTCGCTGTCATCTGCTTCCTTCCCCACATCGACGCCTCTCTCCATGATCTGGAACTTCCAATCACTGTATTTTTCAGCGCCGCACATCTCCGAAACCAAGCACCATTCCAGCAGAGCTCGAGGAAGAGGTTGCATCTCTAAAACCTTGAATTGTGATTTAGCACTTCCAAAATCAAGCATCTACCTTCGGACAGTTCATTGCATCTCCCACAGTTCGGGTATTTCACAAATATCAACTTTGAATCTTTCGCTCTCAAACAAATTTGATGAATTGCTTTTCAATATAGTTTATGATCTATAGGTTTTTGTATATTGAAGTACGAATTCAGTTGTTTACCCTTCGACTGTGTTTACAAATCAGTCTGCCTTATCACTGGCATATACTCCCTCCGTCCATGTATGATCTTCCCATTACGCGTTACAAGGCTTGACCGACATTATTTTCAATTCAATTTAATTGATTATAAGAGTAAAATTTTAAAATAAAATTTATATAGTAATAAACTACATGAAAAGTTCTACAAAACTAGAGGTGACAAGACTATTATTTTATGAAATGACTAGTACAATTGAGCAAAAAAAGTGAGTAAAGTTTGACCCTGTGAATAGTGTCTGGGAAGATCTATGGTGGACTGAGGGAGTATCAAACAAGATGAACAAACAAATATATACTCCCAGGATCAAATGATCAATTTACCTTTTATGACTCTTTGTTTCAGAGTTGGCTTCTAGTGTCTCTTTTGTTTAGCCTTTTGAATTGGAAACACCTAAAATACTTTGGTTTTCTTTCATATTATATTTGAAGAACTGAGCTGCTGGTAGCTTGAAGTGAAGTAATTTATGTAAAATTTGCTCTATCATGTAGTGGTATTTTTTCATTTAGTCAATTTATATTTGAGTTGTCTCCAGTGGGAATAACTATACAACCTGATGTGCTAATACACTTGTTATGGTATCGTATTCTGCTCAGCTAAGCTGTGCCTGAAGAGTGTATGGTGACAAAATGAGTTCACGAAAGAAGACACCTTTTCAGAAACACCGGGAAGAGGAAGAAGCTAAGAAAAAGGTACAAAGGTGGATTTTTTTGTTCTTCTACTTTATAGAGTGAAGAAGTCTATGCTTCTTAGTATACATTATCTTTTGCTGGTTTTCTTCTGTAGAGAGCTGAGGATGAAACAGCTCGTTTATATCAAGAGTTTGTAGAGTCATTTCAAGGTGACGATGTGCCAGGTTCAAAGGCATTTGTTAGAGGAGGGATCATCAATCCCAATGAGAAGTTGAAGAATGATTCTGAAGGTCTGTAGCAACTCCTTTTCTTATTTTTTTAGTATGTAATAGTTTTTAACTATTAGTCAACATTACATAGTCAACTATGTAATAGTTTTTAACTATTAGTCAACTATTATCCAATAGTTTTTAACTATTGGATAAATGAATGATAATTTTCTTACATCACGCATTAATAAAAGCACGGGCTTTTTCTATTCATTCACGGATGGCAGGTGGAAATTCCAAAGATGATGTTTCTGGTTTAAAGAAGGGGAGTAGGTAAACATATCCCTTTTGTTTGACCATGTTATGATGATACTCTAATGTTGGATAATGGATCAAAAATCTTCTATTGATCATATATTTACTGTGATGGTCAGGCATGTTTCTATTTTCCAGTATGTGGTGTTAATTGGTTTGTGTATGGTGAAAGTGATATTATTATCACATTCTTGCTAATCCATGCAAATTAACATAAATGTTTAGTCTTAGTAAATCATTCCAATCCATTTGTAAGCCAAAGAAAAAGGACATTGGTTGCACAGGCTTTGGAACATATTTCGTTTTTTGTGCAGGTATGTTCCATCTTTTATACCACCTCCTATGGCAAATAAGGGTAGAGATTGCGAAAAGAAGGTTAGTGGGACCACCAAAACTCTTTGGGCTCTAGGCTATTGTTACTCTAAAGCATATATTTGTTACCTTATATTTAAATTCAATATTTAAATATGCAGAAGGAAGAAAAACCCAAGGAAAAAGAAAAGGGGAAATTGAGGAACATCGATAATTTTATGGAGGAGTTGAAACATGAACAAGAAATGAGGGAAAGGAGAAATCAAGAGCGTGAACAATGGCGTGATCGTCATTCTGATAATTCCACTGTAAGTTAACCTTTTGTGATAACTAGTGAAAAATTAGAAATCAACTGTATAATGTAATAGGAGTACTACTTATGAAATCATATTGCTTTATTTTTATCTATATTATAGCCATGCTCTTTAATACTCCGTATTATTTTTAATTAAAATAAGTCTGAACAAAAACTTTTAAGTATTGTAGTGTTTTTTTAATAATCAGCTCTGAAATGTACACAATGTACTTTGATTATATTAGTTTCTTACTGATCATGTTTTGTTCTGACATTTTTGCAAAGGACCTTAGAATCTATTTGTTAGTCATAGTTTCATTTAAACATTTAAACCCTTTTTCATATGTGTAATGTGTACTATTTAAGTTGCTCTTATCTTATTGTGTGCCAGTTTGAACTTAACAAGCCATTATATACATTAGAAAACAAGAAAATAAATACTGAGTTTATTTTAACTTTCTTGCATGAATCTCTCGATGTATTCTCTACATTTGGTTAGCCTTATCATTTGTTATTGTATTTATTTAACATGTTTTGAATTTATATCTGCAGCCTTCAACTCGATTTGATGAGCTTCCAGATGATTTTGATCCCAGTGGAAGACCAGGATCATTTGACGATGGGGACCCACAGACCACCAATCTTTATGTTGGAAATTTATCACCACAGGTGGGTTTTTGCAAATAATGCTATCAATATTTATTTTGCTTTCATGTCAAAAAAGTTCAAACGATTCTTCCTGAATTTCTCTGCAGTTCTTTTATAAATTTTCATGACTAATATAGGTGGATGAAAATTTCCTTTTGCGCACTTTTGGGAGATTTGGACCTATTGCAAGTGTCAAAATAATGTGGCCTAGGACAGAAGAGGAAAAAAGGCGACAAAGAAATTGTGGGTTTGTAGCTTTCATGAACAGGGCAGATGCTCAGGCTGCAAAAGATGAAATGCAAGGTAACATTTTGAATAAACCCCTGGTGGCTGGGGTTACAAGTCTTAACCTCACTCCAGCTTACCCTGCCTTTGAACTGACGGTCTATTTTACAACAAATATTTTACTCCCACCCTCTGGAATTTACCAACATTCCATTTCTGCCCATCCCAATAAACTTCTCCACATTCAGTTCACGAGAAAAATTGTGGTTCTTATGTTTTCTCTTTCTTCTAAACGCACTTCAACCATAAACTTTTGTGATTTCAAAATCTGTCTGCCCAAACAAGTTGGAAAAACCCAACGAGGCAGGATGGAGTATTAAATTATTCCATTATGTGAAGATATAAGATGAAGTTTTTCACATTTTAATATCAGAAACAAGTATTTACATATCTGCTTTGATCCAGGAGTGATTGTGTATGAGTATGAACTGAAGATAGGGTGGGGTAAATCTGTGTCTCTTCCATCACAAGCTCTGCCTGCTCCACCACCAGGACATATGGCCATTAGAAGTAAGGAGGTTAGTTGCATTTTCCCTTGAGCTATTGTCAATATTCTTTTTTGTTACTTCAGAAAATTAGACAAGTACACTTTTTGATATTTGATGGTTCCATCAAATTCTCAGATTTGCAATGCACATAGCATATTCAGCGAGCTATTATGTTATATATTCAATATATTGCAATTATATTCTCCTATATTTTTAGTAATTCCGAACAAGATGGCCATGTTCTCCTCTTTACATGAAGTCAGTCAAGTAACTATATAGTTTTTTTCCAGGGTGCCACGGTGATCTTGTCTGGTCCAGCAGGCCCTCCCGTCACATCTGTACCAAGTCAGAATTCTGAGCTGGTAGGTTGCTTTATACGGCGTATTTCTGTTTACTAGGATTCCAGTTGGTAGTTTTGAAACACAACCATAAACTTTGGGCTATAATGATCTGAATAGATAAACAGTGTTGTGGTTTGACTAGAATGGGTTTCAGTTTGATATTTTGTTTACGATTTAACTGACTAGAGATATCCACCTTTAGGCTTGCTACTTAGCCTACTTTATTGTGTTAACCAAACTATTTTTTTGCCTTTCTTTGCTCACATAATTCACTGAACAAGACATTTTTTATTGTTGTAATGTGTCTTTCGCTAGACTAGATTATTGGTCATTTTGTGTAGTGTATTTTTTGATCCAGCGAAATGAACTTTTTGAATAGTTTTTGGCAAAAGGAGAATTTACGGGCTTTCTATTATTTCTGTCATTGGTGTTCAGGTTCTAACTCCGAATGTACCGGATATAACTGTTGTTCTACCTGATGATGATCACCAACGCCATGTCATTGATACAATGGCACTCTATGTTCTTGACGGAGGCTGTGCTTTTGAGCAAGCGATAATGGAACGAGGCCGTGGAAGTCCTCTCTTTAGCTTCTTATTTGAACTTGGGTCAAAAGAACACACTTATTATGTTTGGAGGCTTTATTCCTTTGCTCAGGTATATGGTATTTCTCTCTATATCCTTAATATATTGTGGTTAGTGTCTTTGTAGTATACATATCCCTATATCCTTTGTCCTCAATTGGACTGAGGGCCGTGCATTGACCTTTGCGACACAATTAAACATACAACTAAAGATACTTGATTATTATGTGCAGGGAGATACTCTTCAACGATGGCGGACTGAACCTTTCATTATGATAACCGGTAGTGGCAGGTACTAATTTTTAATTTGTAACCACTTTTTTATGTTAACCATAGTCACGTTCATGATGTTGCATACTTGCACCTCCTTAATATCACATCTGGTGAAGGGTTAGATAAGCCTCTGTGTAGTCAACATGTCTGTTATCATGTAATTTACATTTAAACTAATTTGCAGATGGATACCCCCTTCTCTGCCAATAGCAAAAGGGGTTGACCTTGAGAAGGATGGTGGTAGTACGCATGCTGCTGGAAGAAGCCGGGTACCTTTTTTTTACTTGTGTTGGAATGCATTGCCCAAATTAAACATCCAAACTAAAATCATTATCATTAAAATGCCCACAGCGTGTGGAGGTGGAACGGACACTGACAGATGCACAAAGAGATGAATTTGAGGACATGCTTCGTGCATTGACACTAGAAAGAAGGCAGATAAAAGAGGCGATGGGCTTTTCATTGGATAATGCCGATGCTGCTGGAGAGGTACAGTTCTTAGATCTCATCACGTTTGAAAAGAACCTTTTTTCTTTTGAAGTGCATTGGTATGGCATAGACATATCATGTTAATGTTCACAATCATTGTTGGGCTGCAATCATCGTAAAGATCTAATTGGTTTGGTTGTCTCTCAGGTGGTGGAGGTTTTAACAGAGTCTTTGACACTAAAAGAAACTCAACCACCATCTAAAATTGCACGATTGATGCTGGTTTCCGACATTCTTCATAATAGTAGTGCTCCTGTGAAAAATGCATCCGCTTACCGCACAAAATTTGAATCAACTTTACCAGATGTAATTGAAAGCTTCAATGACTTGTATCGCAGTATCACGGGTCGAATGACAGCTGAAGCCCTTAAGGTAAACCATATGTGGTATGCTTACTGGTTTCCCATGCTTGTTCCCTATGACACCCCCACACCCGATGTAAAAAAAGAAAAAGATAATAAAAAAGAATTATGTTAGATGTTACAGCTTGATGTTAACTGTAGTTGAATTTTTGCAGGAGAGGGTTCTGAAAGTTCTTCAAGTGTGGACTGACTGGTTTTTGTTTTCGGATGCTTATGTCAATGGCTTGCGAGCAACTTTTCTTCGATCAGGAAATTCTGGTGTAATCCCCTTTCATTCCTTATGTGGTGATGCCCCTGAGATAGAACAGAAAGGAAGCTCTATTGACACAGTTGATGGTGAAAAAGTTAACCAAGATTCTGCATTGGCTATTGGGAAAGGGGCTGCCATGAAGGAGCTTTTGAATCTCCCTCTTCCAGAGCTTGAAAGGCGGTGCAGGCATAATGGTTTGTCCCTTGTAGGTGGTAGGGAAATGATGGTTGCTCGGTTGCTTTACCTTGAAGATGCCGAAAAACAGAGGAGCTATGAACTAGATGACGAACTGAAACATGGGAGCCACTCAAGTGCTGGAAAGAATTCCAGTAGATGGAAAGAATCAAGTAGTGAATTTGAGCTGTCAGGTTGGAATGGTTGTGCTGATGAGAACACATTACAAAAAAGAAATGAGTCTCTGCAGTCACCCCCTAGAAATCAAACTGCACAACCCGAACCAACCGCTTTATCAAATGAGATGAGAACCAACCCTATTTTGCCATCATCCAAATGGGTTAGAGATGATGATGAGAGTGACGGTGAAGAAGAAAAGAGCAACAAGCATCTGGGATTGACATATTCATCCTCCGGTAGTGGCGACGGTTCTGGTAAGAATGATGAGACAGAGGTTACAACTGAAGCAAGCAGCACCATAGCAAACCTTGAAACTGGAATAAATGAAGAACAAAGGTAAGATTGTAGTATTATTTTTTTCAGCACAAGACTCATTTATGTGGGCTATATTATATGGTACAACCGGATGTATTGTAGATCATGGCAAACTTGTAATTAAAAAATGTTTCAGAATAAACACTACATTGTTTCATAATGAACACAAAATGACCACCACGTTGATTCAAAATGAACATTTGATGGATGTACCTAGCTCTAGGTACCCCCGGATGTACAATATAGGCTCTCCATTTATGTTGCTGTTTTGATGTCCTACTTGATGATTGCATGTACTACTCGTTTTCAGACAAAAGCTTAGGCGTCTTGAGGTTTCAATAATTGAATATCGCGAATCCCTCGAAGAGCGAGGCATAAGAAATGCTGAAGAAATTGAGAAGAAAGTTGAAATTCATAGACGACGGCTACAGTCTGAGTATGGGTTGCTGAACTTCAACGACGGCACTACAAGGAAATGTAAGTTGTAAAAAAATGATATATTGCTGCCTGAGTGGTGCACTAGTTGTGGCTAATATTACATTTCTCTCACAGCTTCCAGATCATCCTTAGAGAGAAGAAACGATTCCCAAGAAGCATCAAGGAAGCGGCTGAGAAGCGTGAGCCCACTCCGGAAATCTTCAAGCAGACACAGGGACAGGGAAAATGATTCAAACAGAGATAGAGAAAAGCGCCGTGAGAAGGAAAGAGGTCACGATGTAGAAATCGATAAGCAAAGGGACAGCAGGAAAAGTGGAAGCTGGGAGAGGGATGACAACCATGAAAGAGACAGAGCCAGGGAGAGAGAACGTGAACGTGAATGGAGGAGGGTAAGGTAAAAATAAGATGGTAGGCACACAACAAGCACAATCACACTCACTATCCCTTTGGTGATGATGATGGTGATGGTGACGACGACGACGACGACGATCTATCAGTATGATGAACAAACAATTGATGCCTTTGGATGGATTGAACGCTGCAACAACCTAACAGTTTAGATGGATGCAACAAAAAGTGCCCAAAACGGTAATTATTATAAACATATAGGGTCCTATCTTTAGAAGTGCAAGTTTGATCGAAGGCAGAACCTGTTTAAGCATCCAGTGTGTGGTAAGGAGTAAAACTGTAAAAGTTATGTTCTCCATTTTTCGCAAGGAAATTTCACTAGTAGTTTTATTCAGAAGTTCACCGTGTTTTGAAACCGTTTTCTTTTCTCAAACTCGTGATTTACATCACCGATAGTTGTGCCTTTTGTATTTATGTGGATCTAATGTAGATGCTCTCTTACTCCGGGGCACTTCTCCGGACTTTGTATAATTGTAGTTTTACTCCCAATAGATTGTCCTCCCAATCGTTGGAATGCGTTATCGGGATTTTGAATTCTACACTAATATTTTTGAAAATGCTTCGAGATTTCCTTTGAAAATGCTCCCTCCGTCCCAAAAAGTCTTTACGGTTTGACTTTTTTGGTTAATCTGTTATGCACTTTGACCATTAATAAATACGGAGTATAGTTTTAAATAAATAAATATTATAAATATTTGATGTATTAAAATTGTATTTTAAAATAGGGAGAAAGACCAAAGTAGGACTAAAATATTGAAAATATACCAAAATAGGACTTTCATGTTTTTATTCCCGAAATAGGACTTACATTACCCAACATTGTCATATACATTACCAAAAAAATATAGTAATTTGCACATGTACACTGCTACATTACCACAGTGCAAAGTCCTATTACGAGAAAAAAAAACATGAAAGTCTTATTTTGGTACTTTTCTCTATGTTTTAGTCCTATTTAGGATGATTTCTATTTAAAATAAACTCAATTATATTAAAAATACATTATGACTAAATATTTTTTTCTAAAATTTATGGTCTAAGTCTGTAAATTTGATTTTTTTAAACTCAAACTGTAAATTTGTTATTGGGATAGAATGTAAAGTATGTAATATTGTGTGTAATAAGAGTAATAATAATAATAGCAACTACTCTCTCCGTCCCAAATTAAATTGTTTAGTTATTATTTACAAAGTCAAACTTCATTCACTTTCATTCTCGATCTTCGTTAGTTACTCGATAAAATAATATAGTCATGTTACCCTTGATTTTGTAGATCTTTTAATAAAATAATATAGCCTGATCTGAGGGAATATAATAATAACAATAGTAATAATAATAATAATAGTAATAATAATAAAAATGGTGATAATAATTATAAACATAATAATAGTAATAGTAATAATAAGAATAGTAGTAGTAATAATAATAATAATAGTAATAATTGTAATCATAATAATAGTAATAGTAATAATAATAATAATAATAGTAATAGTAATAGTAATAGTAATAGTAATAATGATAATATTAATTTTGTTTAGATCTGATCTGGTTTGATTGAATTGCTATAATTTTAACAAGAATAAGTAATAAGCAGAAAAAATAAGTTGAACGGAATGCAGTCTTAATCTCCTCCATTTTCCCTCATGTCACATAAGACTTTTCTTCCTATTTTTCAAATGGGGGATGCTAGGGGTACACCAGAAATGTACCCCAAGCATACACCAGTCCCTCCATTATTACTTATTTTTATTTATTTATTTCTTTTTTATTTTACATGCCAAAATATATGATAATGGAGGGGATGATTTACATTTGGGGTACATCAAAAGTATACCCCTAACCTTTTTGTTTTCAAATACTAAAGTTGCTCTAATGAATAACAAATGAAAGTAAAGGTAGTTCTGTCAAGTGGGTCGATGACAACAAATTGTCAAAGAGGGTATTTGTGGGGCGAAATGACAAATACTCCTTTCATCATATAAAAAATCCTTCTATTTCCTAATTTAAATCACTAATTACAATTTATAATATTTGATTAAATTTTTTTGTTTCTATTTATTTTAAAATTAGTGTGAAATTAGAAATATATCAAAAAAATTACATAAAAGATTTTACAGTACAAAAAGTAAAATAACTACTATGTATATTATTTAATAAAACATCAAATTATTAACAATAATAGATAAAAAAAGTTTTTTAAGTTTTATTATGTGAATAGTGAACAAACAATTTAAATTGGGAACTAGGAAGCATTTTGTTTTTAACATCTCAACAAATTTTTTTGTTTGCTTTATTTCCTTTTTAAAAAGCAGACATATAACTCAAAAAAAGTGGTTTCTACACAAACTCTAACTGATGCTAGTCGTTTTTTAAATATTTTTCTTAAGCTTTGTGTTTTTTTAGGACAGAGGAAGTTATAGCTTTGACATTGTTTTGGTAGAAATATATACTACCTCCGTCCCACTGTCTTTGTCCACTTTTGACTTTTGGAACTGTTCATCTAAGCACTTTGACTCATCAAATTCTCTCAATGTGTAAGCCTAAATATAGTCATGTGTGATCTTGTTTGATTTGTCTTAACATATAGATTATTAATATATAATTTCTATAATTTTTTAATATACAAATTACAATATAAAATGGATTAAAAAAGTGCATTGGATGGTGTGCCAAAAGGTAAGTGGACAAAGACAGTGGGACGGAGGGAGTACGAAGGTGACCTAGGACACTTCGAAGAAAAAAATCAAGTCTTTAGATTTAGCAAATTGAAAATTCATTCCAGTTGTGTAATGGCCAAAGTTCACGGGGACTATTGATAATTTTAGTGTTATCGGCTATTTTATGTAATTAAAGTTTACTTAAAATGGACAAGAATTTTAATAAACGTTGTTAACAAATTCGGATGTGCGAGGTGTACACTTGTTCAATGATACTCGTATTACAACAGATGTCTGGGAGCGGCAGCCCTGGCGGGGTCCAAGGGACAGAACCCCTAGCCGGGGTCAAGCTGAAATCTTTTGGATTTTCGTATATGGAGTTCAATATATTGAACATTCAAATGTACAAATCAATATATTCAAATGTTCAGTTTATCCAGCGCATCTTGAGAAAACTGCTCGATACATTTGAATGTTTGAAGTTTGAACCCAAACATTCAAATGTTTCACGATAATTTGGAACAGTTCACAATTAACTGCAGAAGTAACCTTTCAACCCAATCCACCATTAAACATTCAAATGTTAGAGAACAAACATTCAAAATTTCAAATTTTACACTAAAGTTGGTTATTTCATCAACCAACGCGTCCGCTCAGACTTTGCCTATAAATATGGCACCTTGGTATGTTCCTAGATACGACTGAAAAATCCATACTTGTTCTAGATTACTTACGTCTTATCCAATTGAAGTATTTTGGTATGCCCCCCGAAATAACATTAACCTAAAAGCGTTTATACGCAATTCGCTAAGCCTATCAAGTCGTTCTTCGTATATCGATTGTATAACGCTACTTCGCAGTGTTGTTCCGCCTGATTCCCCAACAAAATCTCACATTCAAATATTCAACCACAGCTCTGAGTTTCTGTCCAAATTCTGCACAGAAATGTTTTTTTTCATCGAGTAGAATGAGATGCAGTAAAGTTCATTGCTAACAGAGAACACTCTTATATCTATATATACTCCATATATGCATTTACAAAACAAGGTGAATGTATAGTTACTTTCTCCCAAATTTTGCACTTTCACAAACTACTCCTTCCCTCCCACATTAAAGTTCTGCAACTGAACTGACATGGCCCTATTAAGAAAGATGAAATTGTGGTTGATATTTGTGTAAAGGAAAAAGATAAATAATATGAACCATAATTCTTTCAACAACAACAACATTACCCCAGTGCCTCAACGGCTCCCGCCCATTGCGGGGTAAGGGGGGTTGGACGTACGCAGTCTGACCCTGTGTTTAAAACATAGAGCGGCTGTTTCCAGATGACCAATGATGAACGTTGAAAGTCGCATTGACCAACTGCTACTTCACAATTACATGAACCACAATTCTTTCCCTTGAAGGAAAAGTGCAACTTTTTTGGGGACCAAACTCAAAAAGGAAATGCAAATCTTTTTTTCTTAGCCTCCGTTTGTTTGGGTTGTAAAAACAAAATTAGTTGTTGGAAGAAATTGGAAGGAGTTGGAAAATGCTGGAAAAAATAAAATGTTAAAAAATAACTCAATTAAATATTCAACAAAAAATAACTATGTAAGAAAACTAATTTTGGATTAAAAAAGATCATCTTTGTCAGCATTTAAGGTGATATGTTATAAATTTGGATATATAATGTTATTGTATATCCATCATATGTAAATACTTTTTTTTAGTCGTTGTTGGAAGAAACTGTAAAGAGTTGGAAGAAACTTGAAGAAGTTGGAAAGAGTTGAAAGTTAACTTTTTCAATCCAAATGAATAAACCCTTAGTCGGGAGTATAATCTAATTTTGCAAGGAAAACAATCATGTAAACTAATAAAGACAGGCAAGAATCATACCCTATTATATAAGTGGTTGGGCATTGCCATATGAAGATCCATTTTGGTTGAAACCATTACTGTTAGACTGGAAGTAAGCAACCACAGACAAGAGCACACGTAACAGCAGGATGACCGCAAATACAGTGCCACCCAATGTGCAGATAACCTGAAACAACAGTGAATGAATGCACCCGTAGTTTCAGTACGGTCATACCCGAAGAATTGAAGGAACCCGCTCACGGGGAAGAAATACCTCAAGGAATGCTTTCAAAAGTGAAAGTGAAGCCAAAACCAAAACACCGTCAACCGCAAAAGACACCTGCAGTTACCCATACCCACAGCAGTATAGACAGTTGTTCAGAACATACAGAATAACAAATGTAAGAGAATAAACCAAACAGTTACCCATGTACAGTACTACAAGGTCGGAATATCATAAATAAGTAAATCTAATTTCTCTAAAAGCATGTCCTTGAGTAAGTGAGGATATTTAAACAGAGAATTCCCCTGCATGTCCCTAACATCATGATTACAGCTGACTATTTGGAGATAACAAATAATTCTAGGAAGCACAGCTTGCAATATACTCCTTCCTATCCCAAAACAAAAAGTTTGTAATACAAACACTTTGTTTGCCCCAAAAAAGGTCACAGGCTCCCACTTTGATCACACAGGGAGTTAACTGCCAAAAAGGAATCACAAAAACATTACATAAGATAAACTTAGGTAAACCAACAAAGAAATTTTAGAAAAATAAGTACTCCCTCCGTCCCATATCTTTCTTCTCACTTTCCTTTTTAGGCCGTCCCACTTGATTCTTCTCGTTTCCTTATTTGGTAAATAAATGTTACCAAAAAGACTAATATACCCTTTATTCTTTTTTTCTTTTTTCTTCCTACTCTCAAGTCTGACCCACCACAACTCTTCATTTTCTTTCTAAATTATACCAGCCCCCCCAGACACTTACCCACGGTATTTTCTTTCTTCTTCTTTTCTTTAGATCCCTGTCCTAAATACTCATTTTTTCTTTCTTCATCACCTTGTTCTTATTATTCTTTATTCTTGACCATTCGTTTCTTTTTTGCTTCTTCTGACACGCTTTATCTCTTCCGTCTTCTTCTTCTAAGGCGGCAATTAAGCTTCCAGATCTGCAATTCGTCCATCCCTCCTTTAAAAAAGGTTTCAGATCCGGACAGCGACGAGGGGCAAAGGCGGGGGAGACTGCAGCGAAGTACGGCGCAGCGGTGACTGGCGAAGCAGGTGACAGTGGCGAGCAAGAACTTTAAACTTGAATTTTGGTTTCTTCGTCATCTTCTTTTCTTCGTGTTTTCAACGTTTTTTTTCAATTTCTTTGAAGAAGAGAAAGATTTGTATCGTAATCAAGGGTAGGGGGTTGATTTAATTTTTAATTTCTTAATTTTGTAGATCTTAAACTTAAATTGCTTGATTTTTAATTTCTTAATTTTGTAGATTTCAAACATGATCTTTTTGATAAGATTTGTAATGTAGAGGGGTCACGCAGAAAGAAAAAAACGAAAGGGATTGTGACTCACGAATCAGACAGAGAAGAGGAAGGGAGGGGTGGGATGGGGAAGGGTGAAATGGGAAAGTCGACACTATTTTCACTTAGCATTAAAAACCGCACCAAGTCAATATGGGAAGTTTCAACTGGGACGGAGGGAGTATTATTCATGATTTATGACAGTTCTACCTTAATAAAGTTAAAAAGTTGTACATTGGACAAACAAGACTAATTTTGGGACAGAGTTGGTTGTAGACAAGCAAACATATGTCCGTTCAACAAAATATTAAAAAGGGGCAGCAGACAAAATGCGAGCTGCAATAATTATCTCCAACATGACTCAGTTGAAAATTGACATTTCCTTCTTTAACCAGCTATCTTGAAAAATTGGAAGTATAACTTTGTGTTCAAGAGATAAATTCTTCCTCTGTCCCAAAATGGATTCCACATTGCACTATTCCAAAATCACGGTAACTTTTGTTTATTTTTGTGTTTTAATAGATTGTTTGATAAAATAAAATATTCTTGTCACCTCTTGTTTTGTGGAACTTTTGACGTCATTTTTAAATATGCAAGCTTTATTTTTTTTATTTCTATACCAATTTTAAATGACATGAATTGAAAAAACATGAGATTTTGCCTTGTTTTGGCTTCCATAATCCATTTAGGGACGGAAGGAGTATGTTACATGAACTCAGATTTGTTTGATGCATTAATTGCATTATCAACTTCTTCTGCATGGCAAGAGGCTAAAAAAGCACACATCTAAACTTTCAGGGTTTGTACGTGTCTTGTTTGTTTTTAATGAACTTAAGAGGAAAGAGAATTAAATGGTGTGAGAAGTTTTTTCTTTGTGTGAAAGAAAGCAACAAAAAAGGTGATAGGTCCATAAAAAAACACTTTATAATTTGAGATGAAAGTTGTGGAGTTAATAAAATGAATAGAAAAAACTTAAGATTTTGCCTCGTTTTGGCTTCCATACCATCCATTTAGTGATTTAGGGACGGAGGTAGTATGTTACATGGTCTCAAATTTGTTTGATGCATGAATTGCATTAGGAACTTCTTCTGCATGGCCCGTAGCTAAAAAGCACTACTTTAAACTTTCAGGGTTTGTACGTTTCTTGTTTGTCTCTAATGAACTTAAGAGGAAAGAAAAATAAGTGGCATGAAAAGAGAGGGAAAAATAGATGGTTTGAAAAGTTTTTGCTTTTTGAGTGAAAAAAAGCAACAAAAAAGGTGACAGGTCCAAAAAATACTTCATTATTTGAGATGAAAGTTGTGGAGATTATACATTCTCCAAAAACTTTGCCAACTGAAATGATGGAAACCGTGTTGATTGAATCATGAAACCTATGTCTTTTTATTTGTTTCATTTTTTATCTATTATACATGATCTCATATTTTTTAATTCGTATATTCTCTTTTCTACTTTCTTTTACTTCAAGCGAAAAACTGCATTCCCCACTCGGCCACCCTGTTTCCTTTTCATTCTTATCCTTCTTTACCACGCCAACTTCTCTTCTTTTTTCTTTCCTACCAATCGCACAAATCTTTGATTTGTTAAAGGGATTAGGATATGAAAACAATGGAAGCAGATAAGAAAATTTAATACGATGAAGTCTTCTCACATGAAAACGTAGGGTTACACACTTACACTCCAAAAACACAACTATGGGTACACACAAGTGTCGTATCTGTACTAAGTGTGTGAGCGCGCGCACGCAAGAGTCGCAAGACACACGCACATACTTCTGTAATTTAACTACTATGATTAAATTTAGCAAAGAAACATTCCTAGTTTATTTATATGTGGAGTACTTCTCTAGTTTTCTTAGCACCGTATCTTCAACTAAAATGGAGACATACTTCACAATCTTAATTTTAGTGCCCACTTATTCAGCAAATTCCTAGTTCAACTTGAAGTCTAGACTAGAAGTTGATCTTAAATCTAGGAGCTCATAGCTTTTTGTTACCGCCCAATGCTGATTCCTTCTAGTGACAGATCCCAGCAGCACTATAATGAAAATGGCTGGATTTTTGAGGCAATATACTAATCTCATACACACAGTATTCCTAATATACAACCACACACTTAGCATAAACTCGAAAAACAACAAATTGGACTTATGTATATAGCTAAGAGTTTGTGAGAAATTACTAGCTGCGGCGAAATGAAGTCAGGCAAGATTGAGCAAGTGGCCTTCTTGGCACGCTTCGACACCTTCCTGAAAATGCTCCGAACGAACCTAATTAGCAAATCTATGCTGCTTTCAGTTTCGTTGTCTTCCTCTGAGTCATAGCCATCATACTCATCCTCTGCCCTAATCTCATCTCTGAAATTCCCTCCAAAGATCCCTTCGGCTTCTTCTCTAATCGAACCACCAAACTGAAATTAGAAAAAAACTGTTTTTGAATTATCGGTTTTCTTAATGCGTCGCCTGGAATGCACGAGTTCAGCTGCTGTGTACCTTAGCATGGCGAATGGTGAGGCTAGGGTTTGTGGGGTGAAGTCGTGGGAGAGAAGATGAATAGAGACCAGGAGGTGGGGATGAAGGTAAAGCAAATGTTGAGTAAGCTGCTGCAGAAGAACGCGGTAAAAGATGCAAGAAAGCGGCAGAAGGGGGCGATGTTAAACGATGCAGTGTACCTGCGGCGGCGGTGGCCGCCATTCAGGCTTGATGGGGCAGTCAAATTCCTTGATTTAAGCCTTTTCTGAGCTTTGGACCAGTCGGCCAGGATTGGAATGAGCTTCGGCTGGAACACAATTCGTTTGATTGCAAGAATGCAAGAATCCAACTACTAAACAGGTTGCGAGTGGTTCACACTTCACACAACAGTATTGATAGCAAGCCCACCTACCAAGAAAAGTTCGTCCAAATTCCAGCCAAAACGGAAGAACAATGACAGCGGTATAACCCTTTCTCCACTCTCATTTTATTTGATTTTTATTCTTTTACGGAGTAATTTCTTGCCAATTTATGTGGACGAGGAGAAGTCGGGGACATATGGGAAAAGTATATCCCTAGCATTTTTCAAAACGAAAATATTAGGATAAAAATTTAAGAAATCTAGAAGCAAAATCTAAATATTTACATAGTTACATGTTTTTAGCGTTCCAATTATGTGTTAGTATCATTGACATTATAATTTTAGAGATATAAAAATCTTATTTTCTACTCTTTGCTATGTTTTAGTTATATTTTGAACTTTTTTTCATAAAACTAATTTCTCCGTCTCGTTCCTTCTTAATTGACTATAGTGGTCTTTTTATATATTTGTTCATTTTTAACGTATCAAGAAAGTCATAATAATTAATTAAAAACGAATAGAGAGAGTATGCCACGGTCAAATACATGGTAGATGTTTTTCTACATAAGATCAAAATAATTTATTTCACATTTTTTTTCTTTAATCAAAATACTTCTGTTTATGTTTGCATTTACCTATTAATAACGTGTAATATTACCTTAAATGACATAAAATATATTGTAATGACATACTCATTCATACTTAACTTTTAAATTTTTTTTATCATGCACTTGTTTGAGAATTAACTGAGGAAATGCTTTTTTAATTAATTGACATTTTACTTTTTATATTTGGAAAACAATTAAACTCAACTTGAGAGCTTGGGAGAGTCACACTAATTTTGGACTAAGAGGTTCCTTTAGACAACTTAAATTTAATAAATTGTCATAACATTTCACTCGATGAGCACCCCACATCCATCACATAGATTTGCCCCTGAGTAAGAGTTAGAGTTTAAGAAATTTCTTCGATTTAGTCATGGACTAAGCACGATTTTCCTCCATGCTGGACGACTTGGGACGTCTTTTGGTCACCTATCGAGGGGATGACCTGGAAATATCTTTAGTCGTCCTCGACGACCAAGAGATCACCTCCAAACTTAGAGTAACTCCAGGAAGGCAGACATGATTCTTCCCAACACGGCTACGTGCACCTTCAAATCTTTGTCCCTCTCAATGTAGGTTCATGCATTCAACACAAGGGACATATACTACACACCAAACATATATGGATCAGAGATGTCCCGAAAGCTCATCTAGGTATCAGAATAAGAAGAATATGCCATACACTACACGATAAACAACGTCCTCCAAAGACTACATTCAATATATCTTCTAAGAGAGCCTCCCCTATTCCTACTATAAATACGTATATTCCCCTAACTAGTAACATGCCTTCAATATGCTAAACTTATTACCCTCACTTTTTCTCTTTGTGTGATTACTTTCCTCCTTGATCTTCTAACACCTCAACCCGTGCTACCCGAACCAACGAGTTAGCGAACTAGTTTGCTACTGATTTGATATTCACATGCATAATATTTTAAAAACATTTAAAAACAAAACATCTAATCACACTTATTTTGAAAAAAATAAAAATTAGTCGGGACTAGGATTTAAGTTTTGGATAGTTTTAGGTTTTTTTCAAATCCGTAGACTAAGAAATAAAATTGGTGCGTTATTATTATATTTATTAATATAAGATTATAATTTTTTTTATTGAACTGTAATATCTATTTCACGCATAACTTTTTACACAAGATTTCAACTGGCTGTTAGAATAATTAATTTTTTTTAAAATCAATTTTCTTGAAAGATATTTTATACTCCGTAATACATATAAAAAATAAAAATAAAGTTAAAAAAATTAAATACTAAAAAAATAAAATTTAAAATTTCAAAAAAAAATGAAATGAAAAAATAGAAGGTAAAAATCATTAAAAAGTCATTGAGTTCGGCACCTTGGGTTCTTGCACGAAATATGCTGTTGAACTCGTCTCTTAGAGGTATTCAATTTGAGTATAAATATGACAATAACAGTTAACTTTGAAATTCACTTTATTTTTAACACCTTTGTTTTGTTTTTTTCCTCAATAAAAATTAAAACAATGATTCATTAAAAACTCGTTATTAAATTCTAAGGTATATTTCAGGTCGTTATAGATCTCATATAATTTCTTTAATCATTTTTGGTGGTTTACAATAAAGAAAGGGGAAGTTGAGTTAGAATATTGCATGTTAATTTGGCTGATGTCTCATGTACAAGATTTTTTCCTTATTCTATGTTGCCTAATTAATGGGTTCACGATGATCGAAAGTGTTGTTGCCCACTTCAGAGACAAAGATAACTATAGATAGTGTGAGAAAAAAAAGAATAAGGGTGTAATGCCCAATGGCATAGCTTATATAGTTGATATAGAGAGTGCAAACATGAGTAATGTTTGGGTTCGATTCCTAACCATGATGGTGTAGGACGACCATGCAAACCATGGAGCCCATGCACTAGCTAGTAGCATATGTAACTCTCTAATGATAAATCTAAAAATAAATCTCAATTCACCTTTCTCCTAGCTATTGATCGAGACGGTCCAAGAGGACTTTAAGATGTGTTCATTTTTTATAAGAAAAGGTGAAGATTAGAGGAAGAAGGAAAAGAAGAAAGAGTAATTAGGGTTATGAGGGGGTATTTCACAACTTTAGGTTATGAATAAGTGAGTTGTTCATCTTTTCAATTAATTACATACAATTTTATAAATTATCATATTGATATGTTTATTGTACAAGGGTGTATACGAATCGAATCGAAGCAAATATATCACTATTCAATTCGTATTCGATTAAAGTGATATGTATTCGAATTCGGATTAGTATATAATTCGAATTTTAAAAAACATTCGTATTCGATAGATATTTGACATATTTGAATTTGTATTCGAATTCGAAAATATTAGTAATTTTTTTCTTAAAACAAATTTCTTAAAGACATTAAATTATTATTTTCTAATAATGTAAAATGTAGTAAAAATTAAAATGTAGTAAAAATATGTTAGAAAATATATAAATTTATTTATAAATTATAATATTTGAATATATATAAATTTATATGTACAAAAATATTTAATATATTAGAATATATATAAATTTATTTATAAATTATAATATTCGAATAATTTGAATAATAAACGAATCGAATCTATTAATATTTGTATTCGAATTCGAAAATAATTCGAATCTAAAATATGATTTGTATTCGGATTCGAATTCGAATATAGCGAATATGAATCATCTTTTTCGAATACGAATCACGAATCGAATACATTTTATTTGATTTGTATGCACCCCTACTATTGTATAGTTGGAATCTGTACGTTTTCTTTATTTGTATGAGTGTTCATACTACGTCTCTCAATTATGAAGAACGACTTAAAATATACCAACACAAACATAATTAAGACTTTGGGTATTGTCGTCGCATTAGTCAGGAAGAGGTGACGAGGGCCATCAAAGGGATATGAAGTGGGAGAGCCTTAGGGCTAGATGAGATTCTGGTGGAGTATTGGAAGAATTTTCAATGTTATTTTTAGAACGGCTAAGATGCATGACGAGTGGATGGAGAGTGTGTTGGTTTCTCTATTTAAGGCTAAGAGTGACATTCAAAGTTACGAGAACTACAGAGGCATTAAACTTTCTTAATCAGACCGTCATGGTTTGAGAACGTATCATTGAGTATAGGTTGCAGAAGGGGGTGTGTATTTTCGAGAACTAGTTTGGTTTCATGCCTGGACTATCAACCACAAAGGATATCCACCTCATACGGAGACTAGTGGAATAGTATTAGGCTAAGAAAAAAGATCTTCACATGATGCTACTGACCTTGAGAAAGAGTTCAACAAGGTGTTGAGAGAGATCTTATGAAGGTGTCTTGAGTCGAAAGGGGTTCCAACTGCATACATTCATGCAGTCCAAGATATGTATGGCATGGGAAAGACTAGGGTAAAAATTATCGGGGGTGACAGTGAGCCGTTTTCGGTGGAGGTGGGTGGACAAGTTGCGAAGATGTGGATGTTGTGATGGATGAGTGGGCAGACAAGGATGGATACAATTAGGAATGAGGTTATCTGAGGATCGGTAGGTGTGACCCTAATGGAGGATAAGTTGCAGAAAGCTAGGTTGAGGTGGTTGGCTCATGTTAGGCAGTGGAGTGCTCAAAGATGCAAGAGGCTTCCAGTGGTGGCGAGAGTAAGGAAATGTGTAGACTTAGGAAGAACTGGAAGGAGGTGATTAAACACGATCTAAGACTTCTTGTCCCTACAGAGGATATGACTTGAGATAAATTTATTTGGAGATATAGGGTTAGGATAGTTGGATAGACACTTTGAGTAAAGTGGTATCTTCTACACTTTTTGTGTGCGTGTTATGCTATGAGTTCTCTGTTTTATGCGCTTTTCTTATATTAACTTTAGTTTGTTCTTTGTTTATGTGTGTTGTGTGCTTTTTCTGCTTTATGTTTCATTGTAATATTAGATTATCAATGTTACTTGAGCTGGAGATTTCTTAAAAATAACCTCTTTTCTTTTGAGTAGGAGGAAGATTTGCGTACACGCTCTTTTTAGTGTACGCAAATCTTCCATATCACAGACTTTTTAATGTAAAAATAGAAAAAACTAAATGAATAAAATTGTGCGGTATCCCTAACATGGTGTATACTTGGAGTAATTTTCTCTCTCCTTTTATCAAGTGACTTCTCTCCACTGTCCATACCAAATAAAGGAAAACTTTTTTTTTTTCAAAAACAAAGAAAAGAGGAAAAAGAAAAGATTTTGTTTGAAAATAGAAAAAAAAAATGATTTTTTTGCCACCCTCCCTTCTAGTCTTCCAAAACTTCCCGGTAACGCGCGGACTCAATGACAATGCGTCCCGACGTGCTCTTTCAACCGTTAACTAGCCAAAAAATTCCACGCG